GGAAAAAGAAGTTGCATGTTCTCCCTCAGGGACTCCGCAGTGGTTAGTGTGTTTGCCTCCAAGAGGTTCACACAGGGAGGAAGTCCTGACATCAGTGCTGCCTATCAAGGGCAGAAGAAAGAATAACTCTTCTTGGTACAAGATAAATGCTACTTTGTACTAGAGGAGTTCAAAAATTATAAATATAGGGACTATTTTTAGGTGTTTTTAAGGAGACCAAGCTAATAAGCAAGCATAAATTTTAATAAGGAATAAAACTAGAAAATAAGTAGATAAATGCGATCTTTTTCAAACATGGAAAATTAAAGGGAAGCGGTGAAATACAATGTTACAAAGGGGGTTGTTCCCTGGAGAGCTAATCCTAATAATAGAAATGGAACATAATTTTAAATTCAAGGGTTTTAAATTATTGGTTGGAATAGATATGCATCTGAGGCACTTAATTTTTATGATCCCACTTGACGTCACAGGATAGTTACTTAATTCCTTAGCATTTTTCTGCTTCTTCATGTTACCCTTCTCAGTTTGAAGTTTTGTCATCTTGTCTTTTAAAAGCTTTATGGTTCTTGCTCTCACTTTGGATTTTACATCCTACAGAGCTATCATTTACCAGTCTAATGGATAAGTAGAGCAGTAAGGGGCAAGTTGACCTGCCTGAGAACGAAATGCAATACACTGCTACCTATGTAACTGCTATCCAATGTCAAAGAACATAACAATTTGTATTTATTGTTCTTCTGACTAGTAAGCAAGAAATTTGCAAGTATAATTATGAAGCTGATCTTCCTCTCACCTTCCCCAAGAAAGATACTGTCAGTCTATTAAAAAAAGGCTAGTGGAACAGGAGTAACGGGTATTTTAGGGAAAGAAAACCCAAACCATTTTGATAAAGGACCAGCTGTATCATTCACTTTTAGTTAACATAACTACATGGCTACACGAGTCAGGTATTTCCCTAGGCTTTCCTGAAAACCATGGGAGAAGGTTCTTCTAGAGCAACACTCTGGATCTAGCTATTGCAGCTCAGAAATTCTGCCTCCTCAAATGTAAAAAGAAAATTAAGTTACTTATTTCAGACTTGTATTTATACAAGAAAGTATTAACAGATGGGTACAGTCAATCTAAGTTTTAGATGTTAAAAAAGCAAGCTAGCCTTACATCAACTAATAATGCTAGTCTTGTACCAACAACACAGTACCAGTAATCTACAAAAAAAGTGTTATCCTGGTCATCACTTAAATGCATTTTCTACAGCAAATGTTTTACCAATACAGAAGTGCCCAATTCTGACTAAATCTCAGTTTAATGACTTGAGAGTTTTTATTTAAGTGCATGGGGAACATTAAAATTCCCTGATAGAATTCCAATACTATAGCCAAGACTGCTGGATTTTGGTTTTTATTTGTTGTTGGTTTTTTTTTTTTTTATATTTAATTTTTATTTTTAATATGGAGTTAGTCCACAATAGTAAGATGACTGTGTACTTCATCATTAAGAATTTTTAAACTTTTCTTGTAAGATGAAATTGCCCAGCTTATTCTTTCATGGCCGCAACAGTCAGATTTATACTGGTGATTACAGTGTGATGGACGATATGTGTAATTGAGGAGTTTTACTATGCCATTTATTAGCTGTACTCAAATATACAAAAAGGGGATGTTTGTTTCCTGTACTGTTTTTGAAAGGGCAGCTATGTCTTTTAATATCACATTAACATCTGTTTGAGAACATGCCACCACTACTGATTCTCTCAAGTCATAAACAGTTGTAAAACTTAATGAAAATAACAAAAGCTTTAATTTCAAACCCATTTAAGCATCCATACTTTTATTTAACACCTGTAATCTATGACAAACAATTTGTATCTTTAAACTGAACAAATGTCTTCCTTTAAAAATAGTGACAGTAGTAAAAAACATTGTAGGAAATGCTTTAAAATCTTTTAAATCCTTATAAAGTAGGTAGAAATGCATTGTGGAAAGAAATTACATGGGATGGGAGGACATGTTTTCAAGTTAAAATGCAACTTGGCTGTGCAGCTCAGAAGGTTTTGAAGTGTTGACTACTACTCAGAGTGACTGAACCTCACTGAGCCTCAACTTCTGCAGGGCTCCTGCAGGTCATGAGGATGCTGCAAATTAAGACCCATGCTGAGCTTTGACAGCCATAGGGGCTGGACACCTGTGGACTCTGCTGCCCTTTAAGTGTTCTGCGTTATCTTGGGCATCAGATCTCAAGCAAGCCTCTTCTCACAGCCCAGGTGTCAGTGCTCACTCCTCTTACAGCAGAAGAGGCACTCTTCTTTTTCTTAAACAGGCAGGCTCCAGTGTCCCACAGAGTAAAAATAAATCCTACTTGGATTTCTACTATTTTGCCAAGTGGGCAAGAAGTGGGCAAGGAAAAGGAAGAGAAACAGAATAAGAATTTAAGCACAGATGATCTGGAATTACACTGTATATAACTCTTAAGTTAAACTGAGCTGAAGAGCAGGTGACAGATCCAGAGTTTGAGCTGATCTAGCATGATTAAATGCATTAAAAAGGGTGGGGTAAAAAAAAAAAAAACAAACAAAACAACAAGAACACCTAGGAAAACAAGGCTGTAAGAAGTCTGAGTCTAAAGACTCAGCAGTAGATGAGTTTGGGGTTGCCAGAGGACTCCCAACCACTGCTTAGAAGTTAGTTATATTTCACATAGCAGTTCTGACCTAGCTCCTCATTGTGGAAAACAAATCAACTAAGACTGCAGTATACTAAGCGATACCCAAGAAAAAGCCAAGTGTGATGCATCATACTGTGGATGTGGTAACATACTTAATTTTTGCTTTTGCAAAACTCTGATTTCAGATGCAAGGCACTGCAATTGTATGAGTAACTAGTAAGCTGAAGACATGTAAAACCTTTTTTCTGTATCACTTGACTCATCAGATATGGGGTAAGAATAGCATTCTTACTTCAGTTAGATTTACTGCCTTGATTTATAGAATATATGCCACTCCTGATTTTTATACCTATTATCAATTACAAACTAGATTACAGGAACAGTATGCTTTGCTGTTTATTGACTGCTATAATCTAGCCAAATTTATTAAAAGCTGTCAATTTTAACTAACATTCACCAGAGGCTGGTGGACTCAAAGCAACAGCAGTAGGAATGAAGTGAAATTCCAGTCCTTGAAAATCTGTTTTGAATTGCCTCTTTCAGCTTTAAACATATATGCTTTTATTTATCCACCTTCATCTCTATTTAGCTTCTAACATCAATGAAGAAGGAATATTTAATTCATACATTCCCACGTACAGACTACATGATCTCTGCAGTGTCGTATGGGTTCATTCTACCTTTGCACAGTCCCTAATCTTAGTTCTGTAAAATATTCCATGAGACATCAAGCAAAAAAGAATGCCAATACTGCTATGATTCTTAAAGGATTGAAAGCAAGAGCTACTCATACTGTAAAAATAATTCAAAGCTGGATCATTTATCTGTCACCCTGCTTGTAATTGTTGTCTGAGAGTAGAAAAAACCCACATTCTAGCAGTGTTCCTTTTCCTTAAATTCTGAAAGAAATTATCCTGATGATAAAGCTCTCAGACAAAAGGGATACAAGTCTCTTATAAAGAGTATTAGGCTGTATTGACATAGTTTCTGCTCTTAGAGTAAGAGCAGTTTGTTACAAAGTTCAAGTACTATATATGCAGTATAGCTACTGCAGCGTTTCATCAGTTCCATCCACAGCCACTACAGAAGCTGCTATGGCAGCAGAAAGCAGTGAGAAAACCTTACAGATATATTCAGTAAGCTAAAGACCTAATAAATGCATGTCTGCTTAGTAATAAACATCATTACCTTTATTTTCCTCAACAGAAAAGCTGTAGCTAATAGAAAAGCTTATGCTAACTTTTGAGTTTCTAAAACATTCTTACAGGTTTGTAGCATACATCAAGGCCATACATTGTTTATTTAAAAAAAAAAAATAAAAAATTCTTGCTCCATTACCCTTTCTGATCTGAGGTTAAAAAAGCTTTTTTGTTATGAGAACATACAGTGAAGACTGTCAAAGGTAGCAGTATTCAAGCAGAAACATGCTGTATTATTAGCCTGTATCTTTTGTCAGATGTAAGTGAAGAACTGAATCTGCAGCCCTCATAGCAAGTCTAGATAGAATAACTAAGACGATGTCAATACAAAAGCAATAACCTTGTTATTTTTGTCTAGCAGCAATCATTTGCGTTTCTGAATGTTCACGTTCCAATGGGTCAGATTTCAGTGCATGTAATCCTCAGCCCACACCATCAGTACAAATTCTGACTTCCTAACAACAACTTAATCAGACAATTCAGTTACTGTGCATCCCACTTCTTTCTAGTGCAACTCACAACTTCATCTTTTTCCCCTCATGATTAACTTGACAGAGGCATCATGGCCACAAGCTAGTTGAAAAAAAATCCTCCCAGGAGCACAAGGCCATTCAGAGGTTCTTGTTGACAGTAGTCCATTATTTTGCAAGCAGTTAGCCCACTAGAAAGATTTAACCTTCTTTTTCTAGCCCACTTAACTGTTGCTATGACCAAAAAGAGAAACAAGAGCTCGCTTGAGATTAAGAACTCCAAATCCCCTCCCCTCGCCCTCAAAGCTTAACTTCATCATTTATCTGCTTTATTTCTTTGCAGACAGCATCTTGACACATGCAATGGAGATCATCTTCCCATTTGACTGTTGCCCACCTGTAACCTTTCAGTGGCAGATTTTTCACATTTGTGAACATGAACAATTTCTTGCTCCTAATAAATGTTTCAGTGTAGCTGGGTGATCTAGTTTCTGTATGAACCTGCCACACCACCCCAACACTGCTTGAACATAGTCTATGCTTCCTCATATGACATAAAAGGATGTTGGAGAATAGTTCAGATGAAAGAGCAAGCACCCTCATATGCAAACTCAAGCTTAATGTAACCATTAACCTGCACGTAGTTTTACAATTAAAACCTTTTTTCTGAGATACTCCACTGTACCTGATACTTGGAGACTCCCACTAGGTATGCCTTACCATATGAACAAAGCTTTGTTCAGAGCCAAGTCACATGCAAAGATCTTTCTGTGCAGCCTGCTCAGCTCAGACACTGGGATGGCTGAGGGCAGGAGGTCCTGCATGCACTATCGGCAGCCGCTGTTCTCTGGACTTAATGCAAAGTCAAGGGCAATTTGTTCCTCCAGCAGAGATCCATAAGCTCCTAATGAACAGCAGATAACCACCCAGGTGACTTTACTTTCTTTGGACTGTTTTCAGGATGCATTAGACCCCCTTAGAGCAGCTGGAGGCTTGTTCCACCACATCAGACACCCTACCTTTCTCAAATAGGGCATTATGATGGTCTGCATCTGTGCAACACCAAATTCAAAGCTGCAGTCAACCTGTCACTGTGCTCTTGAGGACAGTACTGATGACAATTGCTGAAACAGCTAGATTTCACCATTATATTAAGAAGAATTTAATGTAGTATGCAGAAGCACAGCCGTTAATAGATTAACGGCATCAGTACAAGTTTACAGATGAACCACTTCTGGCCAAAGCAGACAGTGTTGATTCAATAATCACAAATACGAATGCTTGCCTCTGTTTCTGGGAAGCTATAAACATATCAGCCAAAAGGCTTAAATATATCAAGTAGTTGGACTATGAGAAAAGCAGAGTAATCTTCTTTGACAGAAGTTGAAGTTGGCCTCAAGAAGCCAGAGGCACTGGTTCCTCCTCCTGTCAAATTACACTGGTAGTGTCTACACATGCAGAGACAGAAGCCTAGAAATATTTTATATTTAGTGAAGTGCTTCAGAATGGGCTGTACCATATGCTCAAGTACCTCCTCCTTCCTAGAATTCTACAGTTCAGTATGATTAGGAAATGTACCGTGCACACTGCAGCTAGTCATGTCAAGAAGAAAGTTATCTCCCAGCTGTTGATGTGTGCACACACAAGTGTGCATCTATATATATTTATTTATACAGCGTAGTTAAAAAATATCTTAAGTGCTTGGACATAGCAGTCAACATGAATTATGTATGAATCATGTAAATAACACACTCGAAAATTTAGTTATCAGGAAGTCACCCACCTCTTCCCAACTTCAGATTTGTCTCTAGAGTACGTCAAACTACACATGCAGTGTTTTAAAAAGCACTGCATACTTCCTCAGCCCTTTTATGTTTTCAAACCACTCCTGAACTGACTACAGAGAAAGAATAGGACCCCTGTAGTCCCATGAACATGATACATTTCCTAGTTACTACCTTTTGTCACTTGAATGCTTGCTGATGAATATGCACACTCCACTATGGCTCACTGCAAAGCAGAACTCTTCTTATCTGAAAGCACCCCTCAGAACGATGGTTTAGGGAAGAACAACCCTTGCTAACAAATACAGCACTAACAGCAAGTGTTTCTATAAAGATATAGCAGTAAAGGTGCTCTGGAGAACTTCAACAGAAAGGAGGTCACATGAATTTCAGCAGTCAGCAGGCTTATTTTAGTAATTTTGTGCCACTGCCTGCTACAAGAACCAGTAGAAGACAGTCAATACTTTGTATCTTTCATTTGAGAAAACTGCAAAGAAGGATTTTCCAAACACTTAATTCTGCTTGGTATAAGGGAAAGCAGATTTTATTTGCAATGTATGCAGTCATACTTCAGTGCTCTGGCAAAAGAACCAGGTTAGTTTATTGCCTAAAATGAAATTGTGACCACCTTTGGCAGGTAATTGGTGTAGATATGAGGGGAAGGGAAGAACACCCCCACCCTCTTAAGATAGATGGGAATAGTAACACAGAGTTCAAAAGCAGTCTCAACAAATCTATAATGGGTCCACATTCCATCTGAAAAAATGAAGAAGGTGTATCTCTATTATGTCCTTGAGGATCAACCACCAATCTACCTAATTATCATCCACAGACTGAAGTAGTGAGACAACCAGATAAACTACCTGAAAAAATGGGTGTTGATTCATGAGACATGAGTGAGAAAGTCTGCTCAAAAACAGCTAGGCAAGATTTGGGTTTCTTACTCTGGATGACTGTATGCCAGCAGACAATCACGATCTAAATTAGTTTTCAGAATCCATGTTTTGAGAGGCAGAGAATATAAATCACAGGCAAGCACCCACACCACTCAATAGAGATCCAGAATGAGAAGGGAGAACACTCCTTCTGAAGAAAGTCCTAGAATCAGAATTACAGTACTTCAGCTAAGGCCAGAAAGCTGAACTAAAGGGAATCCTAACTCATTTTGCAAGGTACTTACCAATTCAGAGCTGAAAAATGCAGAAAATGTTCCCCTCTCCAGTGGAAAAAGATGCATCAAACACTAAGCCCAGAATCATCTATGAGAAATTCTGAAAGATACTACTAGCAAAACACAGTATAAAGTTCAGTTCTCATTATTGCTTCAGCATGTGGCAGAAGAGTGAGAAGCACACACCGACTTCCCTGTGATCCCATTAGAAGAAGTGTAATTACAAGTCATTAACCAACATTAAGCACAGGGCAAACCACAGGCTTGGAACAATTTGAACCAGAAAGCCAAGCCAGGTTTGAGTAAGTCCAAAAGGTTTCATGAATTGTCTTAGCTAAATCAGGCAGGAAGATGCCTCTTTTTATGCCAAGAGTATTTTTTGTTTTACTTTTATTGCCTTAGTCTTCATGCTGTAACCTTACACATTCAGACAATAATGGAACAGAAGGATACCAAATCCTTACCTGTTAGAAAGTAAGATGCAGAAACTAAAAGACAGAAGTTAAGAACAAAAAAGGCTTGTTGCCACTGCATGAACTTCCATTTTCCATCCTGGTTTGGGAAACAACAGAGACACTTTTATAATGAAACTTGAAGCACTTATACTACACTGGAGAAAGCACTATTTATTCTGGAGACAGTCAGAAGTGATTGTTTAAGTATATTAATAGAGCCATCAGTTATATACAATATATACTTCCTGATAGAACTGTGTTAAGGAGGATGTCAGAAAACAAAACAATCTCCAAGGAAATTAAAGCTAATTTGAACAGGAAGATAAGTTTATAATGAACGATAGTAACAACGTGATTAATCTTCCTCATAAGTATTTTGTAACTTCTCAGTGGATTTCACACAAAGAATGAATGTCACAGCAAGTTTCCACAAGAGTATGCAGATGACAATACAGAACTCACTGTTTTCAAGAGGTAGATACAGGGCTTAACAGGAGCAAAAAAGTACATTTCACTGAAGAGCATGGTCACACTGGGTTGCATTTACAAGGATATAATGAGATTGTGTCAACTATCCTGTTGTCTTCTCAGCAACTATGTGTCAACTCACTGAACAGGGGGAATGCTTTCTTAATTAACAATAACAACAACAATAATGTTAGTTAAGACAATGGCTACACGTCTACTTAAATGGAATAATCTTGATATAAAATCCAATACAAGGCTTACACTTAAAAATAACGGTTTCTCTGGTCAAGAAGGCATGATTCATCCACTCTGCTACGTAACTGAGACACAGGTCTGAAGAGGCAACGAGCTGTTGCATATACTGCTGGTCTAGCCAATTCTGCAACACACTCTGGCTTGAGTAAAAATCATTTACCAGAGAAGTCATGAGCACTAAGTCCACTGCCCTTAGATATCAACTGACATGAGTATTCTCAGTTTCAAGTGACTGACCCTTTAGCAATTTCAAAGAGCACAGTGAAATATGGCCAATGCATGTATTCAGTACAAGCCATTCAAAGCAGGCATATTTCATCCTAGCTGCTGCTGCTAAATACACAGTACAAAGGTATTAGACTTCAGTACATCTCACAAATGTATTAAAATATCTTTTAATAAAGAAGACTCAAGTTCATGCAAGTCAAATTTGATTAAACAGGTTGGGTAACAGCCATTGAGAAGAACTCTCCAAGGATGTTCAAACTCTCCTAAGCCTACATGAACAGCATAAGGCATTGGTAAAAGATGGCAAAAGGTGTGTGGGGGTGTACACACACCCATACACCCCCAAAAACACACCTCCGAAGCTTGCCCTTCAAGTTCAGGATTCGTTGTACAAGTAATATAGTTAGTGGGTAAAACATACCCTACACCTTCTCAGAACAAGCTCACACTACATCAAATCTAGGTTAAATCCCAAGTTTAACTCCCCTTCCACACAAGCTGTTAAAACTAACGATAGATGCAATAGTAAGGAAGAACCATCAAAGACCACTGGAATCAACGTTAGGTAAGCCAACCCTAGTTCACCTTTACTGCACCCTTTAATTAGAAGGTAAGCTACACTGAAGGGTGAACTCCACTCACCACCACTTCTCACACCTCCACTCAGCTGATACTGCCTATTGGGAACAGAGGGAATTGGAACAAAATACTCTTTTTCTTTTCAGTTCTGAGCTCAGTAGGAACTGGATGGTGGACTGATACAACAGTTCATTAAAATCAGGAGGGACAACATACTAGAAGACATTGCTGAACTGCAGGCAACAGGGCTTGAAATACTGATTTTCTGCCAGTATCTCCACTTTTCATGGCTATGTAGCTAGTTAATTCAACTTAACAAGACACAAATAGCTCCACTAGAAAGGACAAAAGTTTTGACACTTAAAAGAAATAAACTTCTGTAAGACAACACACTGCTCTTCTGTATTTGGAATTTCTACTTGGATTGCAATTCATGTGTTGAAATGAGTGGCTTTGTTTACAAAACTGCTTGTTCAATAACAGATCAGAAAGTGATAAAGGGACAACTGCCAACCTTAAAGCTGATATACAAAGCATTTTTGGTCAAGCTGATCTGGAAGTAATTCTGAACTGAAGAATTAGAAACTGACTGGATTCCATCATTTACAAAGTACAACTAAAATGGCAACCATAGTTACCAACTCCACCTACAGTACTGTGGTTTTTGTGCCCTCAATATTGACAGAACTGATCAGTTTGTAACAACCTGCAATGACGAGTGCCACTGAAATTTGCTGTAGAAAATGCAAGAGAGGAAGCAATAAGGGCAATGCCATTATACATACGTGAGGTTTTTTTTTATTTCTGTATGCAATGTAATGTTTAGGCACGTTGCTTAGGACGCCTTCTAAAATAAATCATTGGCCATTGTTTAGAGTATCCTTTTGGCTTTAAATACTGGTCAAGAAAACAAAGGATGTAAAAAATAAATGAATATAAGTATTACAGAAACAAAAATTGATCTAAAAGTGCAGGAGGTGAAGTACTTTAACCCTTTCACCAGACAATGTGGCAATATACAATATATTGCTTCTGTTTGTTTGAGAAGGCTGTTGGAATTTTACACTGACATAGAAAATTATAAATTACACAGAATTAGTTTCCATAATCACTATATATATATACACAAACCAGTTGTGAAAAAAACTGGTTTAGAACATACAAATGAAAGCCTCACACAGATCAGTACAGTGAAAGTAACAATTAACATGCTCTGCTGCCAAAATTTGTATTAAAAACACTATATACTTTTAAAATGCATGTACTGTAATTACATTAGCAGCACAAGCATTTCATTTACTTGACTTGTCTAAAAGGATTATAGCGTTTTAAATACGCAGATTGTTCTGAAATGTTCCATTGTATAATGCTTGGTATTAAACTAAATCTTGGTGAATGGGTTAAAAGGCAGGTGAATCACTTAAACACAACAAGCCATGTGCACTTCAAATATTCTAGTGTTTCACCTGTAAGGTATTGTTTCAAGCAAATAAGACTTAACAGAACATATGGCTTTACAGTAACATCAATTTGTCAACTAAGTTGTAGCAATAAATACTTAAAATCTCTACCAATAGACTTACATTTTTGATCTGTTTTAAACAATACAGAAAACAATTACCAATTAAAAACCTGTGGTAAAATGTTGAACACCAAAAAAAAAAAATCTTATTTAAATCACTTTTGTAAGCTAAAACAACCAAAATAACATTTATAGGGCATTTCAGTTTCAGAAGAAACATGAATTCATTTTCTTTTCTTTTTACAAGGTGAAAAATGTATGAAAACTGCTAAATACTTTGGTCACACTAATCGTCAAATAGTTATGTCTCAAATACATTAGATTTGTGTATTCACTTTTTTATAAAACTATTCTTACAGCCATTTTAACTATAGTAACACTACTGTCATCATTACATGGGTAGCAGGATCTTATTTCACAGGCCACCCATTATTTAGAACAATACAATATAAACATACGCAAAAATTATTGGTATTTCTCAATGTGCAATATTTTTACACTTATGAATTTCTGTACAATGTCTTAAAATCTAGAATATAAATGTTGCTGGTCCTGATCCCTTGCGAAATTAGTGCAGCAGTGACTGGTTTCAACAGGCTCTAGATGAAATCCTCAAGAAACACTCAAACACCTGGGTATCAGTTCATTTTCTTCAGCCAAGGTAGTAGACATCACATATCATACAGGGCCATTAACAGATGCCTCTCCTAAATGGGTGTGTTGGTCAGTCCTAAGAGGCCAAAAAAAGATATAAGTATACAAGAAACAAGAAGTGTTGAAGACAAATTCAGGCAGGTAGAAAAAAAAAAAAATCCCCCACACAACCACCCCACATTATGTGTAGCATGACTCCTGAGTTGAAGAAAGGAAACACAAGCTAATAACATGTCCATCCCATTTATTTTCTGGAGTCCAGTATTTCTGGAGTCCTTATTGCTTAATTAAGCATAGCACTTTAACTGAGCACACCACTGAAGAGTGTTTGATCTTTATTAACTGAGTGATCTCTAGAGATGCGATATCTCCCCAAGAGAATCGCTAATAAAAAGCACATTTGTGATATTTCTCCGAATCTTATTCTGTGAGGGTGAAGTGTATACCAGGAGTATTTAAGGTTGCATTTGAAAGTAAGCAGTTAAGATACAACAAGAAAAACAGTGTCTTAAACTGCTTTAGTTACTAATCCAATCTACAAACTGCCATTTCACACATTCTTTGAATATCAATTCGATTAGCATGAAGTCATGCTAATGCTTCTTTGAATGTCAGTTGGAAGTATGGAATAAGGAGCAAACCTGCAAAAGTGAAAACAGTTAACAGTATATAGATTTCTAGATAAGTAGTTTAGTGTAAGTGTGGGCTCAATTGCTCCAGACTAACACACACAAAATGAAAAGATAGTTCAAATCAGCAGTGCAGGAGAACATTAAGAATTGCAAGCACTAACAGCCAAAAATCTCAGCTTCCATTCAGTGCAAGTCTATTGAATACATTTGACAATTTCCCTTAAAGAATATAAATACAATTTGGAACTACACATGAGAAAAGTTACCTGTAACTCCTGTTCTCTGATGGTGTACATCACAGAGAAGCCACTCTTGGGTCCGTGCTCTACATGCACATGACCAGCAGGAGTCCCCTAGCTAAGTCTTTGGCTGCTAAACTCTAAAAACACTTTTTAAAAAAACATACGTACACATTAGACAAAAGACAGACAGCGCTAGACAAAAAGTAAACACTTTTTAGAGAAACCTGGAAGGTAAGACACAAGTGCTGCATGGACAGGAAGTCTGGCAGTCCGCACAGCAGTAAGTCACTTCTTAACTGGAAAAGATGTCCATGAGAGAACAGGGCTCCTAGCAGAGATTACTACTGCTGGCCACCAGCCAAAGACCTACCTAGGGGACTCCTCCCACTAGTCATACATGCATGGAGCCCCAAAAGCACAATTACATTTATCTTTATATTTATACTGCACTCATACGAGGATCTGCTGTGACAGCCACCTTTAGAGAAAGTATTGAGCTTTGCTGAAGCCATCTGGACTCAATGGAAGGAGTTCCTTGAGATTTCCTGCAACTCCACAGCAATCCAGTGAACTGCTAGCTCTGAGAGCCCTCTGTTGGTTTAGACAGGCATCTTTACTCAAACGGCAAATCACCCAATACCCAAAGACTTCTCCCTTACAGTTTAATGCTAATTAGCATTAAAAATATTGTCTTGATAAAAAACAGTACCTCCAAATAAAGAAGGGATCATGAAAGACAATTTCTGGGTTTCTCACTTCAAGTATACAAGGTTGTTTTTTTTTCTGATTAGAATCCACTTTTTGATTAAATTTACAGAACTTTATGCAGAGTACAAAGTTCTGGCTTACAGGAAAAGGTAGCAGTGCTTTAGTGTAACACCCAGTACTGCAGAGGTAAGACATACTAGCTCATAAATCAAAAAAACAGAACCTGAATTTGTCAGACATGCTTGCATCTTTCTTAGTCTGCATACAGCATAATCAGAACACATAGTAGCATCCTGTGTTGTATGCAGAGCTATACTCTAAATCTTTCCTTACAAAAGCATTTCAATTTTGTCTTCACCAGGAAGCTAGATATACCATATAGCATCCACAGAGTCTTAAAAAGTTATTACTTCTTCCCCAGGACTTTTGTGAGAAATACCATGTTTTTCTACTAATAGTTTAAAATCTATTAAAGTCAAGAAACACAACAGCTTTTAAACCACTAAAGCTAGTTAAATACCGATTCAGAAAAAAATGTGTGTATATATACATATTCTGAATTTTGATTTCCAGAACCATACCCCTGTTCATACTGCAAAGTAAAAGTGACTCTTGAAATTGATTTTAAGCAAAATCCTCTCTCACTTCAGAGCATGCTCCTGTTCAGGACATCCTCAGCTCCCCAACACAGTGGTAGGATGCACAGCTCTGCTTCCCCCCGCCCCAGCCCTGCCCTACAAGAAGAGGAGCAGAGCCTATGGATTACTCAAGGTTTAGTAAATACACATTAAGGTTTTCCTTTTATGAAGGTTTTCTTTAAGATGGCACAGATTTTCTCCAGACACCCCTGAATTACTTCTAAAACAGCAAACAGCAATATACCATGCTTTGCCTTAACACCAATCAAGCCTGTGGGATTGTACCAGATGTTGAACAAGCCATTAGTTCTGCTAGGAAACCAGTAAACTCTTGCCTAAATATTAATTTTAAAGTACTTATAAACAACTAAGTTCCTGAGTAAGGTCTTCACTGAATACCCTTCAAGGGTAGAAATCTTTTAATCTACTTTAAGCTCTTCTTTGTTTTAGGCTTTTAAGATAAAGATAAATCCTGCTCTGACTAAAGTCTAGAAACTAGCTCATATATGTAACATCTGCATTAAACATTTCTAACATTTGGTGATTCATGTCACCCTATGTGCATTTGATTTTGGTGAATCCATACTAGACTTAAAGAGCTGATCCTGTGTTTCCATACCATTGTAACTTGGCAGTAAAAAAACGAACCAACCAACCAAGTATTTCAATAGGAAATTAAATAGGAGAAATACTGTCAAATGCTTTTTTTTTTTTTTTTTTTTTTTTTTCTACAATTTGAGAAATAAATTTATGCAAGACCAGCTTTCTCTGGTGGTGGACCCCTCAGAATTGTATCTTGAATTACTATTCTCTAAAGCTGCACTAGTAGCCAAGCTGACAAAAATGTCTTTTCTTTCCTCCAATAAGTACGCTAAGCAATCCAGGCCGCTCCATATTTCAGACAAGTCTTATCTGAAACAAATTAATGTACTTTGAAAAATCTTCTCCAAATCTACAAGCATTCAGATTAATGCCTGATGAAGACAAGGATGGAAATGACTGATTCACAATCAAACAAGCATGACTTAAGGCATTATTTCCTTTCCATACCGCTGCACCAGTGGACTCCCCCAAAATATTCTGCAGTATAGAATACAGAATGAAACAATGGTAGACTTCAGAGAAAAGTCAAACATATTCCCCTAATTGTTTTTTATCATAATTTTCCAATTCACTGTTCTAATTTGATAACATATCACAAACTAGAATGGGAACATCTACAGGGCCCTGCAAGACAAACAGTACAAGGCAAATATATTTTTGACAACTCTAGAGTCTAGAATCAACAGAAAGTATAACTTGTGAGAATTTTATAAAATAGATGCAAGCACATGTTTAGACTGAGCTGATAACTAACAGGAATTAATCTCTTTATATCAATCCTATCAGAAAAACATGCAAACTGCTATTTAGAGGATTGAAAGCATTCTTGAACACAATTACCTCTGCTCTGGACTGCTGTTAGGAGGCTGCAGAGCTGAAGGAGCCTCTTCTGCAACCTCTGCATTCTCTTCTACTACATATTTACATGAAGCATCCTGCGAGGTAGACAATTTTCCTTCCTCACTTAAAAAAAAAAGAAAAAGGAAAGAGTTATTTAATTTTTCTTACAGGGAAATTCCAGGCAACAGGAGAAAATTGGGAGACGGGTCCATATTTCACATGCAAATGGATTTTAAGTTATGATTGCAACATGAAGATCAAGCACATGGCTCTAGACTTTACAAACAGCTAATAAAGCACCAGCGTTTATGTGCATTAAAACTTGACTGGATAAAAGGTCAGGAAATACAGTGATTACAAGTAAGATCAGAAAGGAAATGAGGAATGTGTGTGAAGTCTGAAGTGGTAGCAGTCACAGTCATGATCCTTTACTATACATACCGATATGATTTCAACACTCTGAAGCCAGAAGTATGCACAAATGGAAGAAAGTATAAAAGAAATTCAAGATTCCCTCAAAAACTGGCATTAATAAAAGTCTGTCCATGAAACATATCAGCAGAATCATTAACTCATCACCATCTTTAACTCCCTAATAACTCTGCAGTGAAATACAATGTATGGGTTATGTACTATAAAGACTGCAGCCCCACCTTTTTCATGAACTTCTCAGAAACAAAAATCATAGTTCAGTAAAAAAGCAGTACACTCTCATGAAGACATTACCATGTAACTAGGAAGCCTCAAAAGTTATTAGCAAGCAAGTACTTGTGTTTTGCCTCTAAATCAAAGCTTTTCTGCCTTTATTCCACCTTCTTCCACCTCAGCCACACCATTACAAGTGCATAAATTACAAATTTTACCATATACCTGCAAGAGATAGCTATAAGGTAGCTCTGAAATAGGCAATCTTATACCTCTGTGGCAACAAATCTATTTATGCAACAAGTCAGAAACATTTTAAAGCCATTTTCCTCTGCTGATTTTTCTTCCTATCCTTACAGTTCTCCTTTCAGTGGATCCCTCAAATGTCAATAAATCCTCATCTTTCCTTCCATTCCTCCTTATATCTGCACAGCCTGTAAAAATAATTCTTTTGCATAGCAATCTCTCATTAAGTCCAGTTTTCTCCATCTGATATTCCCATCTCATTTTCCTTGATATTCTTTGTTCAAAATAAAATAATTGTTACCATCAGATTTGGCCTATTTTTTTCTGTAGGGGTAGTCTCTGCTATCATTCTTCCCTTCTCCATTTAGAACTAATTTCAGAAAGCACATTTTCATCCTTTGCAGCCTTCCACAAATTAAACTACTGTGCTTATTATAATGCTTCTCCTCCAACATTAATTTCAACATCATCAGTTTTCTGTTGGCAGAAACATATATAAAACTTGGGTCTGGAAGCATCCACTTTGCCAGGTACACAGGCCAGAGTAGGACCTCCTCTCACTACTCTAGTTGTCCCTTAATCTAGACTTTTTTTCCAAGCATCGTTTTAGACATTATTTCAAATTAAATACTAATTTCCTCTCCCACTTGTTGCTTGGCATATTTAGAAGTTGGTTTAAAGACAGGCATGTGAGCACTGACTCAGTATGAGACCACAGAACTCTACCACAGAACAGTGTCTGTATTCAAGACCTCACCTTTCAGCCTCCTTCTACATTTCCTTAATCTCTCCTTTCAAATGAAGATCCCAGAGTTCCCATTGCCAGAGGTTTCATGATGTAATTGGGCAGAGTGCTAGATACTCATATGGGCTCCCTTTCCCACAAAAGGTTGGGCCAGATAATCTTCTGAAGTCCCTTCTGACCTGGGCAATTCTATGATATTGCTTCCCTTTGCACCTCTGTGTCCTTTCACCTACAAGAATTGAAGCGCTCACTCCACAGCTCAAGCAGATAATTCCATGAAGGCTAGCAGGAACTGTCACTGCATGCTGCCTCCTTATGTTAGTCTTTGCATCAGTATCAGAAGTTACAGAACTTTAAAGTGTGTTTAAAGCAGTTTAGAGATGTGTAAAAACAGCATGGATAACTAAATTCAACTGTAGACATATAACACAATAGGAGTGTAAACCATATAAAAGAGTTCCCCAAAACACAGAATAAACTGGAGAGTAGTTAGCACAGCACTATGGTTCCATGCCACGAAAGTCTGCACTGAGTCACAATCCTCGTCTAAACTGTTTTGGCTGAATCCCTCTAACAATGACATTTGATTTAAGCAGTGTGCAGCCATAAATGCTTCCTCCACAATATTGAAAAAGATCAATGTTAAGACATGTATCAAAAGAGGTTCGAGTAGTTGTTTATTGCTTCAATAACCAAAAGGATGGAAGCAAGAGTGACTGAAAGCTGTTATGTTTCAATTCCTGAACAATCAAAAATCTACCACCACTAACAGCACAAAGTTAGATGAATTTAAAAGAAGGGTTAGTAAGGACTAACACTGGGAAGTTTTTTTTACTGAAATGAACTAGGATTTTTTAAAGCAACTTACAAGACATATGAACAATTGCTTATTAATATTTAAAGCACGAATAGGGACAGATATCAGGAATTTTTTCTAAAAGAGAGCTGCATGCCAAAGTGCTAGTAGTATGTTCAGATTTGTCAAGATCAGGGTGGGGAGAAGGATGAGGGAGGCATGACACACCAGCTTCTATTAATAAAAATAAAACTATTTTTGCAGGTCAAGCTGTTTGTAGCCTCTGTTTCCCTACACAAAGATTTGATACTTATTCTATGTGCCACCTGCAGTCCAGAATGGATTTGACACCACCACCTATACCAAGAGTGATCACCCCAAATGTTTCCGAGTTACTCTCAAGAGCAGTGCCTGGCTGGCTTTCAACTTCTGTCCTCCATCCTCCTGGATGAGAGTCCAATTCAAATCTAACAATATGTGCAAAATCTAAAAAGCTTAACTCTGACATGCAACTAACATGTTAAAAGATTAACTGTACATAAAAATCTCACAATAACATGCATCAGGGTCAAAAGTTGTGTCAGTCTTCCACTAATAAGTTTCCAGTGCTTATGGACAGGTGCTTATAATAGTGCTTATGTTACAAGGGTGGGAAGACAATAAACAGGTATGCTCACCTTTTGAAAACAGCTGTTTCAGTTTTAGCATCTACAGTAAGGCTCAGTGTCTCCTTCATGCTGCCATTCATTACTGTTTCAGTTACCTTGTCTGCATTTTCTGCATCATCCTCTCCATCTGAGCTGGCCTCCATAGCAACACTTCCTGGGGCTAGATATATAGAAGTCATTTAGTACATGGCTGGTTATGTTTCTATTTATCAGCAAGAACACAAGCCAAGATAACCAGAACACTATTTTTGCAGTTTCATATGCTTCCTGAATTCTTCCTTACAGAGAAAGTCACCTTTCTGCAACTCCCACTATATATATAGATAGATATATATATATATATATATATATATAGAGCGTAAGTACGTCTTACAGATGGCTTAAGTCACATTCTGTAACTATTTTTTTTTTCCTCCATTTTGCAAGCCACTTAGTGATTTAGATTTACAATGGTTACTGCAACATCTTTGGCTGAAGAGGACTTTAAGTAGGATTAGAGTGATGTATTAATTTTCTGTACAGCCAAATTCATTACACAAGCCCATGCAGGGCAAATTTGACAGTAAGTTTCCAAGTGCAGAGAAGCCTTCGGGAATTCTAGTTTCCCTGGACTTCTCATCTGCACTTCTTGTTCTGTCTGTTAGTAATATACACAAAAACATAATTAGCATGTTTTGCCTTCAACTAGTTCATACACGTAGAAGAAAGAATTAGTGTATGCACAGTGAAGGTAACTTGGAAAGGAATAAGCAGGAAGGGGACATCTGAACACATTGAGGCTACTGGCCTACTGCCACATAGGAAAAGACTAGAGGCTATGACTCTGGCTCTGGCATCAGCTCAGCTAATCAAGTGCTGGCACAGGTGGGATTCTCTAACAGAACACACTTAGCTGCTTCGTAATGATTTTCTGTTCATGATGTGCAGGATTTTTAGAGGTAACAGTAACACCGGCTCCTGTTTTAAATAGAAAGCTATTTTTAATAGTCCAGAAATTCTTTGACAAGTCATTTTCATTACTTGTCATAACAGCAGCAGAGCCAGATGAGAGGTCTCTGGAAACCTCAAGTTCAGGGACGTCTTTCTCAGGTGACACTCTTAAAATCAATCTGTTAGCATTTCTGAATGCAGTGTACTTACCCTCTAGCTGTGCTGGAAGAGCAGTTGCATTTGCACTCAAGGGATCAATTGGGTCTGTGTTTGTTTCCATTTCCACAGGAGAATTACTTCTTAAGGAATCTTTTGAGCTTCAAACACAAAGTTAAAAAAGCTTTAGAAACATTTCTGAATAGTAGAATAAAATAGAAATACAAACAAAAAGCATGAAACAATATAGTGGTTTATGCTGGAAAAATAATACTTTTATATCTGAGCTGTTTAATGCCCAGACAGACAACTGAGAGCCAGATGTATAAAAGGAAGAGTCTCCTGACTGCAGGAAGACTCAATTATTGAATGAGAGTATTTGACAACTCAAAAATTTACATCTATATGATTAGGTACTTACACAGAGGACTTGAGTTATTTTTTTATCTAGAGTTCAAGCCAAGAAAGGAAATTCCATTTCAGGCATTCTCAAAATAGTGCAGAACTGCCTCAGCTAGATACCACAGTGCAAGTTTTAAAAAAAAAAACCAAAACCAAACCAAATAAACAACAAAATCCAAACCCTCAAACTTATTTGTTTTATAACATCCATGAAACAGAATCATCAAGGTCTTATGACCTTTACATTCAACAGTTTACATTCCACCCTTCCTTCACTAGGTTCAGTCTACACTAAAAAAAACCACCCAACTTATTTCACAGCCAAGTTATGGTCAGAGACCAATATTAAAGAACCCAAATATTCCTTAAAAACCCTCTAAAACAGTGACATACTAGGATCCACCCATCCGCAAAAGCCTGCCATGAGGTAGATCATACAAAGACATTCTATTATAAACACACAGGGCCCTTCAGACACTACACATCTTGTATTCCACCAGAACACTACCAACACAGGCTGAGGTAGGGATGGACACCCCAAAGAAACCAAATGGCAGCTGCCATTACATTTAGTAGTGAAGAACTTGCCCATAATCATTAACATTCTTACCTCAGAGAGGATGTGAACTCAGAAAAGGAAGCCCAGCCAGTTTCTTTTGCTGGCATAGGTTCTTCTGTACTCCACACATCAGACCCAACAGAATCCAGGTTGGCACCATGTGCAGTCTCCATGGGTACATCAAAGTTAGCTGACCAGTTTGGTGCTGAAAAACCATCAACAAGTTCATTAAGAACAAATTTAAATAAAAGAACATGAACGCACATATGTCTAACACGCTGGTTCTCTATACGTAAATTCCAAAACGAACAGCAACATTCATAACTAGACTTTAAAGCACATGCAGAAGAATCTCCTATATACTGTTAAATAAATGAATGCATTCCCCTAAATGGGAAATTCTGCTAAGGCAGAATTTTCAAAACAGTAACTCACAAATATTCTGCTAAAAATCAATATAGTTTATCTGAAGAACAAAAACAATAAGCCATACTAAATCACAAGTATAATCCCACTTTATACTTTAAACTAACATGAACATTTGTTACAGTTTTTCAAAACTAAATTTCTATAGCATTAAAAAAAAAAATCTTAAGACTTTTCATTCCTTTTTCACTTTCCTATGTACATTTTTCTGAACATTGAAAATGAGCATGTAAACTTAGGTAAGAGCAGTCTCTACATTTCTCATGCACTAACACCACTGCTAAGTTTCAGAAAAGTTTAAGGCTTTTTACAACTTAAAATAGTTATTGGGATTTTAGATTTTGGAGCAACTGTGACTTAACAGCATCTAATTTAGGATAGGTCAATTCAAAATACTTCACCTACCCAAGGGAAACATGTTTTTCATTAACACTTACATACAAAAAAACAGGCTGAAAAGGAAGCTCTGACTAGCAATTAGAAATTCCAACCCAGGCAGATATGGGAGGAGACCCACATGGATCAAAACTTGTTTGACACACAGATGCCAACGACACCAATCTGACAAAAGAAAAGAAAACCCTTAACTTTTCCTTCTATTTTAATTTAATTCCTTACAGTCTAGATAAACACAGGGCTTTTACCTACAGATATTGCCAGTTTAACTAAAGCCAGCTTAGTCTACTGTGACTTGAATGTGAAAACTTTAAAACCAATCAGTTAAGTTTTCACATGAGAGTCTACTGATGTACATCTTTCATTCACACATGAAACCAGACCAATACAAATTCACTTAGCATCTGTAGGAAGTCTTAAAAGAGCTTTGTTAGATTAAAAGTTGATCTGAAAGGCTTCCAGTAAAAATAAACATATTTTAGTTTGGAAGATTTACAATTTATTCGTTTTGCAAGCATTCAAGATGTATAAATGATTACATTTCATCCTTTCTGATTATTCCTCCCTTTTTTCCTCTTGAGGAGCAGAAACATGAGAGTAAGTAACTTGATTCAAGACATGTTAGGATTCAAACTTCTCAACATTTGCGTGTTCTATTGCAAGCAGTCTTTACAGTGGGAAAGACTACTTTATTAAGATGAAATAAAAACAGCAAATGAGGAAGACTCCTGCAAAATAAGATTACTAGATCAAACACTTTTCTATAACTCAAAGCAGTTGGAAGAAAAGCTACGTACGTTCACTTAGGTCTACTTCCATTTTGTCCTCTGTATTGGTGTGTGATTCAAACAAGTCTTGTTTTGTCCCATCCTCTTCTTCGGAATCTGTACTTTCTTCGCTGTCCGTACTGCCCGAACTTAAAATACAAAGAGATAGTATACATTCTCTGTTTAGTATCAGACCCTGAGCACAGCGAAATGAGAGTTTGAGGCTAAAGAGAATTACAACAGCTGTAATTTCTGACAGATTAACTGAAGTATGATTTGTTATTTGTTCATATTGCCCTTATTGCTCTCTAAAAAACAAGGTTTAAGGTTTTTCACTGGATCACATGAAGAGGCTAGCCTTTTCCCCCCATTTGCAAGTAAAAGACAAAGATTATTTTTAATCCCGCCATGCAAAAGGGAGCAGAAACAGAAAGTAAGGAACCAGATCTGTGTACAGAGATTGTTGGATTTATTTGGTCTCCTCACAACAGACAGAAGCGATGAAATACAAAACTCATCAACACCAATATAACAAGATATAACTTGTTTTATTTTAAAAATCTAACAAATCTATTTTAAAGTCTCCCCAACTGTATTCCAGTCCGTCATCTTTAACTACATGCATACTTGAAAACCTATGGGCATCTCTCCCTTCCCCTTGAGCACAAACAACACAAAAAGCAAGGTAATGTGAGAACGTAAGGATGTCCCTGAAACATATCACATTAAGTAACCACAACACCATCACACAAATTTTTTATTTTTTTTTTTTTTTTTACAGCAACACACATTTCAAAGCTGACAAGGGAAAAAGAGATCAGGTTTGTGACTCAAGCCACAAGAAGGTCAGAAAAACCAAGACCACCCTTGGACAAAATCAGTAGATATCAGTGGAGGCTGCACAGCTCAGAGATGCTCCTTCCCCTCAGTGCAGCTTCCTATGCAGTTTTGTCCACAACCCTACTGGTAGTGTAGAGAAGAGAGCAAGGTCTACAGAGGTGTGGAGCTGGACTGCCTTGTCCAAGCCAAGAATGGCCAAGCAGGTTTAAATTTGAAGGAAAGAATAAACAGCACAAAATACCTGAACTACAACAGCTAAAGTGCAGGAAGAGCTGAGTAGGCAGAGCAGTTGTTGCCATCTTCTGCAAATTATGGGTGGAAGACAGACATTAAAGCCATCTCTCCACATAATGCAGTAGCTAGTTGTGCTGGACAGCCTGTCCTAACAGTCAGCCTGAAGAAGACATGCTCAGTACTGAGGGCTAACTACACTGCTCTTTGGATGAAAAACACATTTCTTACCTAGAACGCCTCTGGGATTCTGGTGTAAATGCAATATGTTTTTCTTCCCAAATGTCTTCTTCATCAGAGCCCCCATCATCGAACTGCTGTATCCGCTCCTTACAGCATGCCTCAAACAAGGCTATATTACCCTAAATACAGCAAATGTATAAAATCTGTTTATGATTAATCATTCTACTTACATTAGTAAACATTTGAAAATACAGAATCCTTTAGGTTGGAAAAGACCCTTAAAGTCATCAAGTCCAACCATTAACCTAACACTGCCAAGACTACCACTAAATCATGTCCCTTACTAAGCATCACATCTACAGGTCTTTAAACACCTCCAGGGATGGCAACTCAACCACTTCTCTGGGCAGCCTGTTCCAGTGCTTGACAACCCTTTTGGTGAAGAAATTTTTCCTAACATCCAATTTAAACTTCCCCTGGAGCAACTTGAGGCCATTTCCTCTTGTCACTTGAGAGAAGAGACCAACACCCACCTTGCTACAACCTCCTGTGCTGGCTTTCTGTGGTGGGGTTTTGGCAGCAGGGGAGGGGGCTACAGCAGTGGCCCCTGTGAGAAGCTTCTCAAAGCTCCCCCAGCTTCAGGTCAGACCCCCTCTGGCCAAGGCCAAGACATTTAGCAATGGTGGCTGCATCTCTGCGATAACACATTTAAAAAGGGGAACCTCAGAAGGGGGTTGGGGAACTTTGTCCTTACTGTAACTTGTCCTCACTTAAGTGAACACCAAGGTCAGTGGAAGGAAGGAGGAAGTGGGGGGAGGTGGGCTGGAGGAGACACTTCCCCCGTATCCCATGGTGAGACTGCAGGGGCACCCCCCAACAACCACAGAGCTCACTGGAAGAACAGAGATCTGCCTGGGACCTGTGGGGAGAAGCAGCCCCCGCAGTTGTAGTTTGGCACTGGGAGGACTGCAACACGTGGAGGTGACCCACGCCGGAGCATCTCAGGCAGAATGTACCCCGTTGGGAGGAGTCACGAAGGAGAGAGTTTGTGGGGGCCTGTCTCCTGTGAGAGGGACACACATGGAGCAGGGGAAGAATGCAGAGGAGTGCTGCCCCCCTCCCTTGCAGGAAGAAGCAGCAGACTGACTGCACCCCCCCCCATCCCCTGCACCACTGGAGAAATATCAGGAACAAAACCAAGTCCTGAAAGAAGGGAGGGACGGGAGGTGTTTTTAAGGTATGGTAACGCTTCTCACTGTCCCATTGTCAAGTGTTGGTTTTCTTCGTGTTTGAGTTAGCGATGTTCTTGTTTTCTTTCCTTAACAAGCCTCTTTTGCCTGCGACTGTAAAATGGGTGAGTGACCCTTCCCTGTCCTCATCTCCATGCCTGAGCCTTCTGATTAATTTTTCTCCTGTGAAGGGGCAGGAAGGAGTGAACTCAACCTCTTTTTCTCCAGGCTAAATGACCCCAGTTCCCTCAGCTGCTCCTCACAGGACTTGTGCTCTAGACCCTTCACCAGCTTTGTTGCTCTTCTTTGGACACGTTCCAGCACCTCAATGTCTTTGTTGTAGTGATGGCCCCAATCGCACCCTTAGTCCTGCTGGCCACACTATATATATGACTATTGTGAAGAGAATCTTAAACCAGTGGCGGGAAAAGTATTTCTTTAAAAGCAGCAGAAAACCAGAATGTCTTAACAACTTAAAGCTTGTCAAGAAAATATTCAGTGGTGCTTCCTTTACTCAGCTACTAAAAAGTTGAGTGGACCATCAAAGAACAGCTGGAGGTTTCCATCGTGCTTAACAAAGTCATGCAGGAATGACATTGAAGAGCTTTTCAGTTAACAGACTATTAAGCACTCCAGCTTTATCTTCTGTAGAGGGGTTCACTTCAGCTCAACTAACAAATAATTTATGGCTAAAGTATCTGTCCTTACTTCCCTGTCACCGCAATCTCAGACAAAAATAGCTTCTACTTATAAAACACAAGTATGCAATATGCACAAATCAGATCCAAGCCTGTTCTTGAACCTGGACACACAAATTAGAAGCAATTCTGTTTTATACTAATCACAAACAACTATAGTGTCTTCCAATTAGAAAGTCTCATGATACAAGAAGTAGTTATATTCCAAAGATTACACAAAGGAGTAAATATAACAACCACCACCAAACTATGAGGTCACACCGAAGTTTAAGAGCCAGTAATTCTCCTGATAGCACAGGAATACATACTTACACTTTCATTTGTATTAAGGGTAAAGTTGATGTCTGAGACCCGATCAAAAGAAACACTACAAAAAAAGCAGATGTATGCAATAAACAAGATGTTGTGTTATGACATGAAGGCATTTCATTTCTCTTCTCATTTTCCAATAATAATAATATAAAAGAATAAAGAGAAAGTTACCAACATAAACCAGTCAAATTCCACATTAAATAGGCCTGGCATTCACGTGATTTTTTTAAACTGGTAAATATTTTAAACAAAAATACAAAACAATATCATATCTACCCTATATTTAGCTGCAAAGATGCAACAAGTCTAACTGAAGTTAAGCAAGCATAACTGAAATTATAAAGCAAATCTCAAATACTGTACTCTTATGCACTGGAAAAGAAGTAGTCCTAAAGAATGCCTAATCTGACTACAGTCGACCATGATACAGCTCAAAATCCTACAGTTTTTATACCTTCTAACTGATTTAATCATGCTATAGAAGGACCTTCTCATCAGGAAGAGAGAAAGTGAAAAAGAAGTAGTATCAAGTTCTATTTCCTAAAGAAAAAAAAGAAGCTTTTTTTTTAAAAAAAAAAAAATTCACCGAATTTTTTTTTCCAAACTGCACGGTAAATATTAGGCTTTACAGATATTCCCATATTAAGCCTCCAAGCAGTTTCACTAAAGTAATTATAAACATATCTTAGACTAGAAATAGCATTAGGCAAACTAAATCTCATGGGAAAGCAAAGAGAAACAGAAGAGTTAATATATTCTTTCTATAGACACACAGAGCACATAAGACTCTTCCTCTAATCCTCATTGCATTATAAAGTAGGGAACAAGGTAAGTTGTCTAAAGGAACATAAATTTTAAGTGTGACTCAATTACTCTGCAAGTTACCATCTGAATCACTGTACAACAGTAAACTGGCAATTTAAACTGTAATTAATTCTTGCACAAAAGGCAACACTTAAGTAACTTTATCTGCAGTTTAATTCAACTCACAAATACATTGTCAGGATACCTATCACAAATCTCAAGAGATCTGCTTACACAAGTAGTCATCTTTCCACCAAGACTACCAAAGGCACAATCTTAAAAGAATTCCAACTCCTGTCCTAGCCAAAGTCCACTTGCTTCTAACAGAGTATCCTGAATTGCTTCCTCTCCCATCATATTTTAACCTATAATCTCAGCAGAGCATGTAGTGTAGTAAGACAGCAATACTTCCTAGATGCACATGCAAGCTTCAGACAACTATCACTTACTAAACACAGAATCACAGAACAGAATCACAGACTGGTTTGGTTCGGAAGGGACCTTAAAGATCACCCAGTCCCACCCCCCCTGGCCCAGGCAGGGACACCTTCCACCAGCCCAGGTTGCCCAAAGCCCCGTCCAACCTGGCCTTAAACCCTTCCAGGGAGGGGGCAGCCACAGCTTCTCTGGGCAGCCTGTGCCAGGGCCTCACCACCCTCACAGGGAAGAGTTTCTTCCTTAGATCTAATCTAAATCTCCCCTCTTTCAGTTTAAAACAGTCATTGTCTTACAAAAGAGCACTGAGACATTTTATTGTATTTTATCCTTCTAGGAACCATCTTCAAGTAACAGTTTTTACTCTTACCTGCATGTTCTTGCATCCCAAGCCATGAATTATTACAAAAATTGAGACAACTATTTTCAGCAAGAACACCCATTCTTTCCATTCTCCATAATAGCATCAGTATAATTAGAACTGAAGAAAGAGAACAGTTTTTGTGCTGGGTGTTTTTGTTGTGGTGGGCTTTTTTTCACCTGACCAAGACTGTTCTCATTTCCTCATCACTTACCCTATTTGTAGAGTGTCTTAACTGCCTTGACCTTGCAAACAAAGGTAAATTAACGATCCCTCCCTTACTGTCCCCTACACTCATGTGTTGTTCCTGTCATCTTTTCCAGGAAAAATTAAGAGTAAAGCTATTTATCTGGTCTGGTACACAGATTCAGCAGGGGGAAAAAAAAAAAACAAACAACCCACCCACCACTTCGAGGCACAGAGAAAGTGAAAGTGCTCCCAGCAATGCCATGTCACTGGACAGACATAGCTCTCAAAAGCAGAGTTATAATTTAGTTATTTATTCACAAGCATTGTGTTCTCATGTTGGTACAGCCAGGCCACCAGAAATAGAAGATAAGCTTTGCTTTCCTCTCTAAACCGTTCAGGGAGGCTTCTATCAATACACAGAGATAGTACAAAAAGACAGAACTGATTGGCAACTGCCTTGCATTAGTAAGGGCTTGTCTTTATCATCAGCAAAACCAATACACAATAAGAAAGGAAATTCCCGAGACTATAGTCAAAGCCAGTATAACATTATACTCACTTGCCGATGTCATCTTGATCAGCAAACTTCTCATCGTTGAAGCCAAACTGGTCAATAAAATTGGACGTCATTTGTTGCATCTGATAATCAGAAAAGGCCTGGCAACCCCAGGACCAACGACAGTGATATAATGATTCTAATAATACTCTAAATCCTATTTGCCCATTTTGCTCCAAAGAAATAAAAGTCTCCCTGATCTACACATAAAAAGACAGGAAAAGGATTTGTCTAAACTGTTGACTTTTAAATGGTAACGCTAACTACACACCTACTTACATTTATTGACTTGAAAGCCAGTCTAAGAGCAGCTCTCAATAAGAAAGTTAAATCTCTACTTTAACTATAAGTTAATCAGCACCTTTCAAAATGCACCCCAAAAAACCCAGTGAAACAACACAGTATACTAGATAAAAAGTTGTCTTTGTTCAAAATAACATGAAGTTATAAATTTTAAGAACCAGAAATGTACATTGGGTACAGACACAAGCACAGTTGCATATTTATCATGTAGTTATCACTAGAAATATCAGAGGCACACACATCAGCAGCATATATTCAACACCTACAAGAAGGAAACTATTTGAACATTTTACATCACAATGCAGGGACACTGACTCAACTGTACTTTTTTTTCCTTATTTAAAAATAAAGAAGCCTGTGTCAGCTGCCAGCAGATGGGTGTATCCACATTAAGGTACACATGGGCATTTTCTCCCATCCATAACAGCTTTTGTCCCTTATTTGCCAGAACTAAATTATCACGCATTCTCTAGGAACTTTTAATAGTGTTATTTCAATGTGGAATGTCAGCCAATGCTAAGATATTCTAGAAAATACAGCTGTCACATCAACTCTCTTGGTTTCTTGCCCAGGTAGCTAAAGGGACACAGTATATAGGCAAAACCTTTGAAGTAGGTGGTAAAGCTGAACAAAGTGAATATGGAAAGAAAACAAGAGAATGGTCAAAAAAAAGCAAGTTTGGATTAAGACATTATGAAAACTGAAGGAAGAAGAAAGGAGATACAGAAGGATGAGATATACAGCAAAGACCCTATGAGGGCTAGGAGTGGGTCTGAAAAACCCTCATATTTCATAGGGTAGGGTCACTATACTAAGCCAGGCCAAAGCAAGAGCTCTTACATTTTGATCCTAAAATTAAAAAACTGATAGTTCTTAAAAACTTCAGGATTTGATACACAATTAGTGTATCAATATTACACTGGTGGACAATCAATTACTGAGTGTCCTCCCTATAAAATAATTACTCTGTTTTACAGCAGTTACTGAGCTTGCCTTTCCAGTACAGTATTTTCACTATTACAGATATTAAAAAGTGCACATTAGTGATTACCTACATGGGAAAGAAAAATAAAGGAGTTCAACAGACTTGTTTTACAAAAGGTGTAACCATTAATGCACCACTCACCAGGATAAAAAGAAAATTTAGATGAGGTTTATGACATCAGCTAGTTATGAAATGAATGGGAAATCTTATAGACAATTTTGATGTAGTGATAACAAGTATACAAAATACAGTTATAAACTGCTAGTGTATCTCAGAGCCTAGACAGTTCTAGCCTTTTCTCTAATATATTTTCAGTATGCTTAAGAGAGACAAAAAGTGGTCCTAAGTTGGTGGAGAACAGAACAATGATTTCCTGGAAAAAAAGTTTCCAGAGCCACAGCAAGACAGCACATTAAATACTGCTGTCATGAGAAACTTTACAACTCAGAACTAGGTGATGGAACACTTCTTCAAAGATGTCAGTTTTGAAGTGTTATTCAGAAACTTACATAAAAAGCATTTGTGGGTAAGAAGGGGGGAAAAAAGAAACCTTCCCTTCTGGAGCAAAGGGTCTTTGTTAAAAGAAAACAGTATCAAACTAAATTTGGATGCCAGAAGAAGTCATAGTGAATGTAATTCTGCACAGGCAGAAGTTCAATTTGATGAAAATAAACCAAAGATCAATAGATTTCTTTGTATTTCACTCCCTTATCCATTTCCTAATGAGTCCACTTGAATTTTGGAAATTCCCTTCTGTTTCTTCCTTCAGCTACTGATCTAGACCTGGGTATTCTAGCTGAAGCCAGAGGCATCTTTATGAACTAATTCATGCAGCTGAAGAATGCTTTAGCTAATTTCAATGCATTACACATCAGAGTCTAGTTATTAATCTTGTCTAGTATCATGTTCTCCTCACTGGATACTTTAGAAACTGTATTTCACTAGCTTAGAAAAAAAAAATATTAAGAAAATGGTGACAAACTTGAAACAGCACTGGATCATCTGCATTTCTCCAGATTAACTAGCAGGAACTGCTGGGATTGCTTAGGCACAGCAGGTCACTAAGAAGATGCAAGAAAAGCACAGACATATTTGAAGATCTTACTTTCTCACTACAACTACTACAGATAGCACCCAATTTATCAAGTTTGTAGTCATCAGGTGCACCTTACACCCACAAAAATCACTGTATCAGATAAAAATACATCAGATTCTTAAATAAATGGTGAGCCACCAGCCACAATTCAAACTTCAACAAGCAATTACTTTTTATAAAAACTATAGTAATTTGCAGAATGTAGCAAAGTCGGTAGTTACAGCTGTTAGGGGGAGCTGAAAGATTTGGGTTGATAACCCAGACTAAGTAATGTGTTCCATGTAAGAAATTTATTAGCAGTCTTGTGCCACATAGCTCCCACTCTTTCACCACCACTATTACAGAAATGTTGTCCTTCATAATGGCACCAATGCCTCCATCACCACACATCACCGAAAATACTCTAATACCATATTAAACACTGTATAATTATCAATTAGTCAGCTATGAAAGCATTAATACTTCAAGGTAGACAAAGTTTTGACTTAAGCTTTTAGGGTGGTTGATATGAAAATTCCCTAGGGATTCTCAATTTTTTTTTTTATTAAACCAAATAAATAATTATCTTTGAAACATGAGTTGTCAAAAAGCATACACTAGATTTAAAACTAAGTGATTACTCCACTGGAAATTTAGTTCAGGAAGATTTGGCTATGTACACTTGCCAGGTATCAAGGGTCTATAAAGTTAAAACATTCGAGTTGCTAGATACCACCTGTCACAGGAGCATACTTAGCTCTTAATTTATACTGCTTGACAGCTACAGAGTTCAAAATTTTGCCAAAAACTAAAAGCTTGTGACAACAAATAGTCAATCCTCCTTGTTTTCTCATAAAAATAAAGGTCAATATTTAAAAAAATCTATCTATTAATTAGCAAAACCAAACCGAAACCTACTTGCTTTCAGAGCAATCACATTTGCCAGAAAACACAATTAGAAGCCACCATTTCAAACCTGCACATCTAGTAAAAACTCAAGTTAACACAGAAACTGTGTTCAACTTAGCCAAAGAGCTGGCATATCAAATGTGTTCTTAGGCATAATGAGTAGAGATATACAGAATACACAGTGTGATCAAAGTCTAAAAACTGGAAGGCACACCAAGATACTGTGACATGTTAAAAATCATACCCTTGGGTTTGCTAAGACACAGTTGGGGGCATGCACACGTCTAGGTTTTATTTTAAACTTTCTAGATTTGGATTTGCCTGTGGTCAAAAATACAAGTTCCACTGATTTTTAAAAATTACTTATTTTTACAGAAAGAGCAACCCATGCCTTTAAAAGAATTCAACTCACCTGCTGCAAAGAGGAATCCTGTGAGAAACCAGTTTCTTTAAAGTCAATTTCATCATCACTGGAAGAATGAATGTGGCAGGTAGTAACCTACACAAAAGAATTGAGTCATTTAGCATACCACAGCTACTCAAGTATACTCACACTATCTGGTGAATCTTCAGTTTCATATCGAGAAACAAGAAACTGAATTCTCTTCAGTTTTCCCAACTCCTATACCACAAAAACAATCCCTGAAATATTTTAATAGCATTAACACATATATGAATATTAGATGCCCCCAAAAGAGCCAAATCTTTTGACTACTTCAGAATGACTATTTAACATTAAAAAGCCAGTCCTATGGCTGACAGCTAAGTCAAAATGATACAAAACTTGCATCTTGTCTTTGTACAGCATGAAATACATTGAATAGCAAGTGAATTAGCAGTCACCAAAAGAGATCCTCCTCCTTTCCTATATGTAAAATATATAAAAATCAAAGGGAAACAGTCTTGGCTATCTACAGTATTTACAAAGAGACAAAAGAATTAAGCTTCAGAAATCTGTAACCAACATGTACTTGCAGAAACAAATGCAGTTGTTGTCACAGCAACTGCTGTTTTAAACCCTATCCTTGAAAAAATAGATTTTTTTTGATGATATGACATAGAACTAGTGGGAATAGTTTGTTCAGTGACAGTACTATCTAAGCAACATGTTCTTGGAAGTACTTATCTTCAGTCAGAACAGCACTCCAAAAGTAATTTTAGCTGGGACAGCAATTAGCTAAAGTAACAGTAGTGACAGTTGACCCTAAGATTTCATCCTCCATGTAGGATGCCCAGTATAAAGCCAATCTACAAATGACAAACTTTATTCTGCACTATAATAGAATGTATTATTCTACACACCCCTAGAAGATCATGTTACAGATTCTCAAGTTAAGTCAAGTGGTTCATGGATTCTTTTCATATTTTCAAGAAAATACAAGTCTGTACAAAAGGTGTACTGAAACACATACAAGGTTTCAGACAAGACAAACACCTTTCTATGCTCCCATAAATACCACAGGACAATGCTACAGTCAGGACACAAGTGCAAGAGAGAGATGAAGAAAGTTGTTACCTGAAGTATATTGTGCTTTTATACTTTTTCCTCTGTTAATATAACAATTATTTTAAAAATATATATATATATATATATATAATTGAGAGTGCTTTATTCTTGCACATCTACCATTGAGCCCTGCACTGCAATTTGCATACTAGAGATACCCTGCCTTTCTAGTAATGCACCAAAAAAAATCTCTGGGCTTGTTGTGTCTGGAGAAGAGCTGTGATATCAATGTTCTTGCAAAGTCTGCACACTTCAAGGTAATCGTATGGCATACCATATCACAACCTCAGCTGCCCCTGATACTGCCCCCCTCACATGGGCACATTTTGAGAGGACAGAATGTTAATACAACTACAACTTGTCAGGGAAAGATACCCAAAACCAAGTATGAAGTTGTTTCTTTAGTTTTAGTTACTATTAACAAACATGTTAATCCCCAGTAGAAATCCTGCCCTTACTGCTGTAACAGAAACAAGCTCAGGACTCTTAGATGGAAGTGTCTCCTCCAAACTCTCCCTTTGGGAACCACCAGGACATAAGGCCTAAATATACATGAGTTACTTCTCTTGCATTCCGACAGCTGCTGTAGTTAAAAGTATAAACCTGAAAGAAGAAATTAGCATTACTCCACCCTAATAAATAAAAGGTGGAATTATGCCAGGGAAGGGAGTAGGAATGACCACTGCAAATTCCAGCAATTCCTTTCCTCACTGTTCAGAGCAGTTGCTTTCTAACACTAACACACAGAACAGGCACTTTTCACAAATAATTCATTCTAATGTTTTCTGGTAATATTGAGCGGGATCTTCTTTAAGAAAAAGGAACTACATGGTGATTTTTAAGGCAACCATGAACAATTTGTCCTGTAGACTTATTTTTAGGCTTAAGGGAGGTATATTCTCCTCACCTAGTCTTTAAGTATATCCCACAAATATTCAATATCATGACTCATGTTGGAAGGATGCCATAATGAGACACTTCTTATGTTATACAAAGTCTCTTGTACAAACCTAGTATTACAAATTGTATAGCATTCTTCACTGTACCACCACACCTCATCTAAAGAGAAAATGAACAATTACTCCACATTTGTTGAATCTTCAGCATGGTTAACTGTAAGTAGATAGTCTTAGTGAAGTACTGCCTACCTTCTACAAGGACAAGGAGGAGTAGAAAAACAGAAATAAGCTTCCTGTAAAGTGCTTGGGGGAAATTCTGAGATAGTTCTGATACTTCTCTGCAGTCACTTCTAAGCCTGCAGTTATTGTTGTTTTAGAAAACCTAACAAGAACTTGTTAGAAAGACAGAAGAGCCTGAAGAGGGAGAAAGAATGGAAAGGATAAAGTGTTGATAGATTTACAATCAACAACCCTGATGCAAAACAGCTGAAAAGAATCTCATGGCTGCGCAAGCAGTTCATTACACATGGGAGCCTAGGACTACACACCTTGGTTCCATCATATCAACAGAGAGCTCTCTGAGCTCAAAATGCCTGAAGCACTGAAGCACTCACAGAGCAGTTCTTTCCATAGCCTTCACACAGCTAGCCTATTTGCATATCTTAAAATGAACTTCACATCATAACAGTATGCATACACATAAAGATTATGTCATATACCATGACTAGATTCTGCTCAACAGCTTGTGTAGGACAGGAAAACCCTGAACCAAGTAAGTCTACTCATCTACCCAAGCAGTAAGTATAAGGCTAATCCATAAAAAAAAATTAAGGAAGGTGTGCTTAAGATCTTGCTCTGGGGACACTGAAAATCCACACTTTAAATCAGGTATATAACTTTTCAGGTATAAAAATTAGTTCCGATAGCTATTGTTTTACCCCAGGATGCTTTCATCAACTTACAGAACAGCTCAAACACCAAGACATGCCAAATCGTCCAGGTTTATAGATGGAAAGGACAGGTCTATGGAGACCAAAACACAGATCAGAAGTAGGCTATTGGGGGACAGTATGACTGGAAAGAAATACTGTGGGGCTGTGCTTTCAGGATACGTCCATAAAATAACTGTAACTTAAACATGACTCAGTAAAAACAAGCTGAGTTTATGAGATCTGTCTTTTAGTATCTCTTGCAGCACACTGTACTGTCCGTTACTGCTTATCTTTGCACTAAATGCTAGTCCAAGGCTCACGAAAATTGGTTGTGCAAGAAACAAAGCCTATAATTTTAGAAATTCAAAGACAGTATTTTCCAGATGGCATTTTAGATACAAGAATTTGTTTTAATGCTCTGTACTTCTATTCAACTGAATAGTGTGGAGTTTGAAGATATGTTTTAAATGAGGTTACACTGTTGTTAGATCAAGTACGTCCAAGTAAATGATTACATATCTGAAGAGCTAATCAAAATGTTATTAATTATAAATCAGTTTAAAATTCTGCCTCTTTAGATGACTCTTCTCTTGGCCTTGACAAAGAAGTAGTTTCTAGCAACAGGAAAATATCATTCTACAAGCATGATGAAATTCTTTTCATTCACAGGCTCACGCAAAAAATACTATCTGTACATCATTTGGTCCTGTCCACAAGTTGCACAATTTCAGATTAATTTCCTATTGCTTCTATTGCCACACAAATGATGTCAGCATTATGTTCCAGTTGCTATATTACGTTGAAATAGCAAATTTAGGTCTTATAGCCCAATTCACATAGCACCTGCAAAAGTTAATGAAGCCATGTGCAAAGCACTGCATTCCTGGAGAAGCGAGGTATATTAAAATTCATTGATTCATCTGTTGACATTGGAAACAGCCTCTACTTAAAGTGCCCAAGCGATTATTCTTAAAATGTATGTTTAACATGACTACATAAAACCTCTTCACACTTCTACTTAAGTTTAACTTTCAGAAAAAGGTATAATCACTACTGCTGTTGCAGAAGTGACAGATGCACAACAACAGTATGCAAAGTTATTTAGCTTAAGCAAGGTCAGTAACATACGCAGTGGGATGCGGGCAGAATTTTCCCGTTAAACTTGCATAGGCTCATTTACATACTGTAGATAAATCAATTAACACCAGATCCTGCAGCTTTAGTTTGCACTCTTCAAGCAGACGGGAGCCTTCAAGGATGCTAACTTGAAGCTGAAGTGAAATCTTCCTCCTTGACAATTGTCTGGGATGAGCTACACAAACTGAACTACCGCAAGATTTCCATACAAAACATTAATGATATGGCTTTAGTTGAAAACCAAAGAATTATCAGTTCCATAGCTCAGCACCTAAAGCTACTTGTTGACACAAGTACATGGTAGCTGGGAATACTGTGCTGCTGACAAAAATAAAACTAGGGCCCAAGCAAAAAGCAGCAATTTTTATACCTTACTCATCACTACTTACCAGGTCCACTGTATTCCTCTTGTTAGTTTCTCCTAAAGAGCTTGTGCAGAATGTCTCCCATCGCTCTCTGACCTCCTCTGGAAGCTCTAGCATAGAACCAAAAATAACCCCAATTCAATACTACTGACAACAGAACATCACTTAATTTTTAATTGGTCTTTTCTGCTCTACCAGAAATATTACAAAGAACATAGGCATCCTCCTAAATCCATAAGGATCTAGCAAACAAGTCCAAATTAGGTAGGTCGGCATCTCTTCACTTTATTTCAGGGAGCTTCAGGAAAAAAAGACTTAAGCCTATGTTTGTTTAAAGATGGCTGGTTTTAAATTGAATGTATCAGAAGTAATCTATATTTTCTTCTCTTATCCAATCACTGCCTTTAAAGTTTGATCAAATTTTGAGGGAATGAATAACAAAAGCCATGAAGACAAGCTTAAGACCATTAACATTACCTTTAATGAGCTGTTGGACTAGTGTACTGTTTGGCCCCTTATCTGTACTATGCACAATACAGTTTGCTATCCTTGTCAGATGACCCATATAGCCATGTCGTCTTCCTCCTTCAGCCCTGCAAGAGACAAAGAGAATTCAACTGTCCACACTCAGAGCAACTGTGCTACTATATTTTATTACAAGGCACTCCAGAGTCAAGAAGTTACACAAGACAAATAGCGCAGAAGTTCTTAAGCAGAAGAGTTGTATCCTAAAACCAAAGGTCTGACCAAAAACGCTTAAGTGAGAGCCAACTTGGACTGAATTTCTAGCATTTAGCTGCAAGCCAGAGACAGTTGCTGTGCCAGCTTTTCAAGATTTTGTGCTTCTAAAAAATAAAATAAATAAATAATAATCAAGAAAGATCCACTCAGTTGGACAGACAAACCTCCCATGCACTTGACTGAAATCTCTATAAGTGGCAGCAGTTTGGGAAGTAGTTTATGTTATGCTAATACAAATCACACTACTTGATTTTCCACCATCATCATCTAACACAAGGTCACTGAAATTATGTTATGTCAATGCAAGATGTCATGAATGAAACAGTATCACATTGTTTACAGGAACAAATTGAGAGATTCCAGTCTTAATTCCATGACTGCTTAGGTAACAAATACATTCAAAACAAGCAGCATGTGATGATGGCAAAGGTTATCATTTCTAATACAGGATATGCCATAAAGAGCACTTGTATTTACCACAGTGGACTGACTTGGCATTGCCTAGGCAAAAAGTCTAGTTAGCAAATTCTTATTAATCCCAGTAAATCAAACAGCTTTTTATTATGTCAGATTTTTAACAACAGAAAGCAGTCACCCTCAAGCTTCTACAGCTGGTCAAAATAAATGACAGAATACAAAAGCATTAAAAAAGATCCTGAAGCAGCTAAACTAAAAATACCTTTAGATTATCTTTAAGACTTATCTTTTATATTTGGAGTCATACCTGTACAAAATTGCATAAAAGGGGTGAATTACAACAGTTTGCTTGTTTCTCACAAATAAATAAATCAATCTTCTTCAGGTAAAAGCAAAGTCTAAGGTTCACAATATTTTCTGCAGTAGTATTTGCAAACAGGAGACTATTTAATTCACCCACATGGTAAGCACTGGATCAAGAAAATTCTTATCCAACCGAAGAACAGCTTTAGCTTGGATCAATGAAAATAACCTCCCATATTCCTCTCCTATGAGTCTAACTGCTGATAATGGCAGTTTGCTATTACCTCAGAAGAATACAATATAAAATAGAAGACATTTGGGAGAGCATGTCTTCTACAGATAAATGAAGTCACACTCCCTTTCTTTGTACCACCCTCTTCACCTGCTTCAACATCCTTATCTTCAGGTCAGTTGCATTAGCCATGTGTTTACTATCTGATTCACATCAAACAGGAACAGAAGTATTTTGGGGAGCAGAACTCTCTCAAGTAATACACCAAACCAGCAACACTATCCCAGTCAACTAATTCAGTGTTTTGACAAGTTAGAGCTAACATTTACTGTTCAGTACCTCCAGAGCCAAACTTATGAGCTGTTTTACCACCTCAGGTGAAGAGTGTGTGGTTTTTTTTCCTCCCGCTACAAACAGTTTCAGACAACTTTAGCTACTTGAAACATCTACCCTTTCACAAACACATACTTTTAGAAGGTATTCCATTGCTGAGGACTTGGCTTTTACTGCTCAAAGTCATAAATAATTTTCAGCTGCTCACTGGAGAAAAGTGTTTCTTGTCCTCTCAAAACTTATGGTAAGTTTCTGTACTTGAAGATGGATAGACTTTAAAGATCATAGTAATATCTTATATATGGCAAGAATAACAAGCTTGTATTCTCAAATGGTCATGGGAAAAAGCATTAGAATGCTACCAAAAAGTGGTATGAGAGAAAGCTTTAATCCAAATACTAACATACAAGTGCTTCTGGAACTGGTCAGATCACTTATGAATTGGTCATACATACATTTCACAATTCAAGTCTTATGTAGACAGTTGCAGGCAATGAGAAAACTAGTTACTCACTGTTTCTTCTCATTCATGTCCCATGCTTCAAGTATTCGTTCTATTAATTGGCACTTAAGGAAGAGCTACCAAAAAAGCAAAATGTACTTAGCAGCAAAGTGGAACACTGTTATGCATTTTACAGTTGATTTTTAACAAATACTAAAGCCTTACAAGACAACTAGTTTCAGGTTCAGGATAAACACGTTCATTAAAGGGTTTAAAGTTCAGGAGCAGCAGTCCTATCCCAACCAGAAACCTAAAAACTAATCCTACATTAATTATGCTTCTCTTTTTAGATGCTGAGTTGTAGTAGCATTAAGCTACAGAAATAACAATTTTAATTGCTAAAAATAAACTTCAAGGAAAATAAATATTTGCAGCTCTGCACACATGCTCAATTTGGGGCAGCAGGAATCTTCTGTGCACTTTCAGGTTTAAGCACCCTGAACTGACATTTTAAGAAAAAACACAGAAAAATATTCCTGTTCATTCTATACATAAAGTAAAATTGGGACATATTTTATGTAAAAATAACTGCTACAATAGCCTGGAGACTGCAAAATTCAAGAGATCCCCAAAACCCCACAACTTACATGTTTCAGTAAGAGATTGTCCCCAGTGGAATCCTGATCTGTAATTGTGCCATTTTCTGTGCTTTCAAGAGGACTTGCAAGAATCAATGCAATACAGATTTCTACTTGAGTATGCAAAAAGTTATTCCATGTATACTTAAAGAACATGTCCTGCAATACAAATTCAACAAGGTTTACATAAACCAAAGTCTTTTCATTAAACATAACCAGCAGTCTCACCCTAGCAAGTCACTTAAATGACTACACTAGGGCAAATTATTTAAGTTTAACAATAAGTATTATTGTGCAAGAGAAAATTTGTGACCTATAAAAAAGCCAATTCTTGTGCTTGGTATTATCTGAACACAAGGACTATCACATTGGATCAGAACAAAAACTCAACTGTAACTGGATTTATCCCGGGGGTAACCAATAATGCACTTTCAGAGAACAAAGACAGGGAAGAATGACACTCCCCACTTACATTCTTTCTGCTAGCTGCAACCCAGAGAGTCCCAGAGTCAGAGTTGTTACTTACAACCTTAGTAGACCTTGACAGATTTTTCTTCGTGTTTAACCTCCTAGCATCTACAACACAGTTTAATGTGATCCTCACTTCAGAGAGACTCCTTACAAATTCGTATCTACCTGTTTTGAAGCTGTCATCTACTAATTTCATTCTTCTGTTACAGAAGGATACCTCAGATAATCTAGATGCAGTCCAAGATTATCAAACACCTTACACAAGATAGACAAATACTGAGGTTGAGATACAATAATCAGTGCTCATTTAGTCATGTTTCTGGTTCTCCTCATTTTCCTCTTCACATAGGAAAGATTTTTTTCAAGCTCTATGTCAGTTATGTTAGACTACTTCTTACCATAAAACTCAAGTGATTGCTGTCACCGGTAAAATTAGTTATGGAGATATGTGCACTGACTGGAACAGTATTAAACAACTGAAGTCTCATTCAAAATACAGGTGAAGAAACCTCCAATTTTCCTTCAGCCATCCTAAACTAACAGCATCCTCCCATAAAGATGTGCTACTGGAACCAATTACTTATTCCTAACAGTCAAGTCTGCATTTTAAAGCATGTGTTGTTTCAGCAAACAGCATGAAGCACCAAGAAGTTTATACAGCTTAATTACTTTTTTCCTTATGTAAAACCTGCAACAGAAAAGCATGTTCGAACCTCACTGAATTTGGTTTACATGATAATCTACTAATAGGAACATGCAAGTTGTCCTTAGACAACGTATCTAGGAAAAACCTTAGTTACAGTGAAGTTAGCTATTTGTATACAAGTTGGCACCTGTCACCCAAGCTGTGCGGAGAAATTGCTATGAAAATATTACAAACATATCTGTATTAGTTAGTTGAAGGACTTTAGATTAAACCAATATGTGGCAAAGAAACTACACCAAGTTTGCAACTGCCTGCTTAGAAGCAGAAGTTTACATATTGTATTCAGAAACTGTAGTATAAATTCTAGCATGTTTTACTAGTTATTTAACTGATACCAACATTAGAAGTTTTTGGTCATCCTAAACACAAAGAATATATCCTGCTACAGTTGAAATACGAGTTAGGAAGTACTCAAAGTACACATTCCACATCAACTCACTGACTCACCTCTTGCTAACCAACTGTCTGTTGTGCAAGATCTTGCTTTCAGATCTTTGAAAGTGTATGAGCTACCAAGAGTAACTGTCCCTTTACAGGGCAGTGCTGAGATATCATTTGGTGTGTCATATATTACTAAGAGAGGAAAAATGGTTTTGAGGGAACAACTTGGGAAAGGAAAACAGGAGGGAAGCTTTGAACATGGCTGAAAATTTAAGAACATATAGATGAAAAAAAAAGCTTAAAGAAAACTACTTCATATGTTTATGAAGGTGTAGAGAATAAGCACCATTCAAGGGATCAGAGGAGAATGCAGATTTCAGACAGATTAATTTAATAGTAAAATCCAATACTAAAAGTTCTTAAACAGTGCAATAGAAGCCACAACACAAACAGGTTAAAAAGTTAGGCTGGAAAATATACTACAAATTGTCTGGTTTTTTTTCTGTCACTGCAGATAAGATCTTAATAGCAACGCATAAAAATAAAGGTGGCAGCATAAAGTTCTTACCAGTATTACTCCTATGCTGTTAAGCTCTATAAGCTCCTGATTCACACTGCTTGTATTAGTCTGCAAAAGGCTAGATATTAATCTAATCACATTTAAACGCGTGTTTCCCACAGGTGGATCCAACACACCCCAGGTTGTCTTCATGACACTTTTCTGAAAAAGGTACATACATAAAACCCATTAAAATATCTATTAAAAGGCATCAATGACAGTAGTGCTTAAAAATATATACAATTGGTCCTTGAGCAATTGCAGAAAACCAGTTTTTATTTCTGAACACTACAGCATATTTTAACTCCATAGACAAGCAGCACTGAAAACAGCCACATGAAACCAATGGTATTGTAAAACTTGTTTGTTAACTACAGACAGGATCTGAAAGCAGAAGTATTCTACCCAATCTTGAAAGGAATTAGGAGGAACTTCCTAGGAAATGTTTCTCACTGGTTAATATATGTACAGTTATAGTCTACATCATTACAATACATACCAGCTACGTGGACAGTCTCTGTCTCTGAATACTTTACAATGCCTCCACAACCCTAACTTCATATACTTGAAAAGAATTTCATTAAACAACAAGCTTCTCTGGTGTCTTATTCTAATATCATACATGAAACAAGCTCCATCTGTAGTCTTTGAAGGACTTCCAACACAGCAAGAATCTCTTTTGATACACTAATGGGTTCTTGTATTACAGTCATAAGCTTCATGATTCTTACATTGAAATTTTAGCTGGTTGACAAAACAGAATTGTTGTCATACAGTTAAGTGCTATCCAGCAAGAAAAACCTGGTGTTAGCTACCGTAAGAGCTAAAAATCCAGTAGCAAATACACAACAAGCAGAGGACATCATCATGAAAGTGTTTTCCTTTCTTCAGTCACAAACATGTTTTGACAAGACCACTATTGCCTTCTGCAACACCAGATGCTGTTTCTGCCCAACCAGCGCCACCCCTGCATCAGAAAAGATGACTGACATCCTGATAGTTCATTTAGTCTGTTCCTCATAGAAGGCAAAAATCTAAGGATGCTCATTTAACTAGTGCTCAAAATGAGCAACCAATTCAGTAACTTCACTAGATGAATTATTCAAATGAGAAGTGTGTCCAATCATCAGAAAATACACAAGTATTTTATGTGAGCCTGCATCTACTGTAATAGAGACTTTTATCTTGCCATGATGTTGCAATAAAGATAAGACAGTTTCTTTGCATTTTATTACTATTTCTGCATTTGGAAATCTTGAGGTCTCATCTTCTCCAAGCTAAATTAAACTTTCACACTACCCTGACAGCCTCTCCCCCAGTCTGGTATTTTATACACCTCCAGTCTTCACTTTCACTTTGGCCCACAGTTCCTTCTCTCTTAAGGACTGTGGCACCCAGTTCAGGGTGCAGTGGTCTGTCTGAAATTCTGCTAGTGAAAATTTCAGTGGAAAAATATAAATGGATCATAAGTAAAGCCCCTAGCTGTATATCTCATATTTATCTTTTGCAATAGCATGACATAGAGAAGTTGCTTAAATCAGTTAAAAAGCCCAAATAATTTAAACATGCCTGGAATGCAGGGTGCATGCCATGGAGCTGGTCTACTTGGTCCTGGGCAAGTCTAGAGAAACTGTGCAGGCCTCATGTGGGCCATGCCAGAGTTCCAAACAACTGAAGCATCTATAGTCTGTGTTTCCTATCCGGCTAGGATTTCCAAGCAGAAAACAGGACCCACCTTGAGAATATATAGCAAATCTCTTTTCATTGCTTTCAGAAAGCAGCAACTGCTTCAAGGCTATTCTGACAATTAAACAAAGTTTAAGCTGGAAAAGCATATCAATTAGCACAACACATTGGGGCTCAGGGGCAGCAATAATGAATAGCAAAGTTCACAACAGGCTGGAAAGAAGCCTGGGCAGTTGCCCATAAGTTGTCAAACTGGGTTTTGTTTGCTATTATAACCTGGCTAAAACAGTGACACAGTGACAGTCTTGTTTCAATTAGTTTGGTAACACAAGGTTTCACTTACTTTTGGAGGCTCAAGTAGGAGTTCATGGAAGGATGAAAGTCGTGCTTTTATGGCTTCTAAAACACTTTTGTTGACTGAGTATGTTGAATTGCTCATGCCTGGAGGACAGATCTCTATATGGCCTTCAAACCTAAACACACAAGCAAAAATCTAGTAATTAGTACCAAAACTAGTGGTAAAACATCTTTAAGGTATCATTTTGAGAGTGTCACAGTTCTGAAGGCACGTGAAAAGAACAAAGAGGCAAGTAAAAACATAAGGTTAGAAATATAAATTAAGTGTGAAGTAATGGTTGAACAAGATTTCTCCAAACACCAGCCCTAGTATTTTTAGGTTTATTGTGCTTGAAGTCTCAAATATGGTTTTGAGATTAAACATTACAACTGTTCTATTTCCTCTTTTGAGGCAGACAGAGAGCTTCACTCATATACCCTGAAGAACACAAACAAGTTGAACATACCAGAGAGATCTGTTAACTGGTTTCTCTAAGTGAAGTTGTAATAAAATGCCAAGTAACTTTTTAAAAATACCCACACACTGCACTGTGCATCCAGAAGCAAATTGATGAAATGTAATTAGCCTGATCTGTCAAGCTTAAATTACCTTCTAGAAAAAAAACACAGAAAGACCAGTCACTTAGTGGAAGTGTAGTAAAGCCAGCTGCAAGCACTTGGATCGTCCTTTTACTTCTCCAGTAACAGGCCATGGAAATGGTTCAGTCGTAAGTACATGGAAGACACTATTGCTGAACAGTAGTTTAGTTAAATTATGCATGCATAATTTAAGTGAAATAAGAACACTTACGTCTGTCGCCTTGTCTCAAGTAAGGTCAATAGTATTTGGATTGCACTGACTATTGCAGATTCATTTTTTTCTTTATGAAAAATATTAGACAGCAGCTGCTCTATGATTTCTCGTCTGAAAATAAAAGCATTGTCATCAGATGTAACACTACTTCAGGATACAGCTGTTAACAGAAGCAGATACTTGTAAAATGAATAAGAGGATAATAAAAAGAAAACTCAGCTATTTCAAGCTAGCAGGTACAATCACTTCCATCCTCACTGCCCAAGTCATTTTCCTATTCCTTCCATTGCTTGTTTTCTGATACTACAACCAACTATAAAAAGGATGTTTTCAACCAGATCAAAAACCTGATTAAGCTTGCCATAACAGCCACACAAAACTAAACGTATAAGCAGCAAAAGAAAGAAGGGAATACAGGACACACTTTCCTGGCAGAAACACACACTTAGATTAACTTAAAACAAGTAACAGATCAAAGCCAAAGTCTCCCATGTATACTCTGCACAGCATCAAGCTGACCTTCATGTATTTGATCCCACGAACTTCAGCAATGCAGGAAATATTTTAATGAGACAAAAGCCCCCCAAGGAAGTCCTCCAGGTGGGCTCTGCTTACTTGCCAAGTTACTTGAGACAGAGGACAGGTAGCCAGGAAAATTTACCTGAAAAGCAGAGCTTGCCACTTCTAGAGGTTTTAAAGGTCAAAAGTTTAATCTGTGGTTTTATACAAACCAAAAATAAAATCAGAAATGCAGCAAACAACTTACTTCTCTAAACTTGCAAGCAGTGGATCTGGTTCTGAACTGTTCTGTACTTGTAACATCTGGTCTCTGCTTAGACGAATAATTTCACAGAGTGACTGTGATGCATTTGAATGCCTCTGAAACAGAAAAACATAGCTTTTCACTACAAGAGTAATACATGCTGGACTGTAATTCTTCAAGTAAACAAGGTGAAAGGGTCAATTTGAACAAGAGTCTCTCTTGCCTGAATGTGTTTTGGGTAATAGCTTTATGCCATAACTAAATGTTAACAAGGCAAAAAAAAGTTATAAGGCATTAGACAAGAAGAAAAAACCCACACGCCCTCCCTCAAATGACCCCACTTAAATACTGAAATCAGCTTACTGAGAAAAGCAAGCAGAAAACAGTAAAACTAAAAGTTCTAACACTATGTTGTACAGCAACTTGCGGAACAGATAAACCCAGAAGTGTCAGACCTAATACTTACATCTTCATCTTGAGATGGATGCACAATTTCCACAAGCCGCTGGATAATTCTCTCCTCATTTAGCCACTGTAAAAGTGTTTGTGGGTGTTAGTAAGAATGGGATCCAAGTGATTAAATTAAAATGAAATTAAAAGTAGTCATTTGACAATTATCATGAATCATACTGTCAATACTTCTAAATAAGAACTAACAATACTTCAGATAAAAGAAAAAAAGTAAAATCTGTGTTTCTGAGCAACTATAAAAAAAGAAAGCCTTAGGCATATTTTTTTAAATAAACCTTCTGTTGTCAAAAGAAGTGTTCAGTAAGGTCCAAAACATTAATTATAACTGCATCTGGCAGTTTTAAGTTAGATATTAAAGACCAGCGGAAGAGATGAGCCACTCAAGTTCTAGGTTGTCCCCATGAGCGCTGTGACTCCACCAGAAAAGCACTGGCAGCTCCAAGCAAAAAAAAAAAACCAACACATGCATCTAATTTCAGCACATTTAAGAAATAAACTTAGTAAAACCAAGAGAAGATAAGACATCTTACAGTTCACATATACAACACAAAAATCCTTGGAGACATTTTACTTACATTTAACACTTCTTGCCGGGGCTGTGGAGGTTCTATGCAAGTCAGTAGCCTGAGCAACAAGTCCATTATAGCAGAGGTCCCTATGTGCTTAATAACGAGGTCTACAAAATCGTGTTTCCTCTTTAAAAAATCCACAATCTATAAATTAAGAAGAAGCTTACACTTGCTAATCTGTATTTTACATGATAAATTACAAAAACTAGTTTTAGTTTCTCTTACCAAGTGGAGAAAATGAGAAACACTTAAAAGCTTGCAGCACAAGGCAAGATAAAATACACACATGCAGAGTAGCGAAAGTGGCAGAGAACAGATCCATACTATATACAGTGTGTCTTGGGCCTCCTCTCAAGTCCAACTTGCTGACCATAAACTACTTAGAATCCAATGCACACTCAGCTTTCCTTTTCTGCATTAATTACTCTCATTCCTGCTTAGTGAGCAGAGCTCAACATACAAACATCATACAAACACAGAGCTTGGTAAATTAAAGATACAAAAACGGAGTCACAAACCTCCTTAGCTCTGGTGAGAGCCAGTCATTGCAGCTGCTTGCAGTATTGGGCCATATGAACACAAAGTACAACATTTCTGAACAAGGGCTCCAAAGGTCTCTCACACTGTTCTATAACAATTCTTCACACCAAATCAGACCCACTCCCACTGATTCAATTCACTTATCTTCACCTCTAACAGCAATTCATGAAAATATCAAAGCATAAAATACTAAGTTAAGCCAAAAGATAAGCACTCACACACTGATGATTCAAATAGCTCAGGCAAATCTGAACCAAATACATCTCGCTCATCCAGAAATATTTTTTAATCCTAAGCATAAAAAGTATCTTCAGATAGTATGGGCAATTGAATGCTCTTTTCTGACTACTGCTAGCCCTCAAATGTCTAGTCTTAGAGCAGCATTGCTGAGTATTACAACTTTATTAGAGCAGTTGTTCAACTGAAGAGCTTGTAAATATTTACCTGTTCTGGTTTTCTGCTTATAAGAATACTTAGCACCTTGCTGAAGAAACTGGCCAGTAAAGGGTTTAAAGGAGATTCATTTAAGAGGAAGCTGTACAGTTTCATAAGTAAGGATTCTTCTTCCCCCAGCCTATCATTGATCTGTGAGACATCTGATGTAAGCAGCTCACATGATATGTTTGGATATCTGAGGAAAAGGAAAAAAAAAAAGTTACCCTTCACTCATTCTTCAAAGCTGTCATACTTCCAGCTCAGATCCTGGTAAGGCATCTAACCAAGTTTTCAAGCAGGGTTGGTCTGCACTATTTAAAGTAAACTACTGCAAGATAACATAACTACACATTCAGCCTTGCATTTAAGAAATGGACTATTCTGTTATTCGGTAGCCACAGGACAAGATCGATGGTTAAAACCATCTTTTCAAATACTGATCTCTCATTTCAGAAGCCACTATTTTGAAGGGAAAAAAGTTAGTTACCAAGAAATTAGGCAGACTGATAGTACTGGACTAATACTGGGGAGGGAGTCGTATGTTTACACCTTTCTATTATAACAGGGATTATATTAAAAAGGTCAAAAGGAATAGCTTCAGGACTTTTATATATTTATTTACATATATATATATATATATATATATATATATAAAAATTATGTAGAAAGTCAGTAAACTAGTTGAAGTTTGACAAAGTCTACAAAACTAGGTAGTACTGCTTCATGACAGAGTCACAAGTACAGCTCAGAACACTGAGTAATTAAACTAAGAGGCCATAAAGACCAGCGATTTCTTGCATTTGACAGTACTATCTCCCACTCACATTAAAGGTAATTTTGACAGCATCAGCCATTTAAAGTTTCTAAGTGAAATATACTTCAATTTTAAACTCTACTAGAAACACTTACAGGAAGCTTGGTTTACCAGAAATGGTGAAGTGCTGTAACTAGGAGTGTAGCTTATTTCACTTTTTTCTTTTTTTTAACATACTGTTTTAAGAAAAAAAGCAGCTTTCTACATAGGCAACTCTAAAATAGGCCAAAAATTGCAGAAGTGCTTTTATACAAATTGCTAGGTTGACTTTCAAGTTTGAACCTTCTCAGCAAGCTAGCTGAAGTCACAGCCATACCCAATTTTTACACTTCTAGCTCTACAAAGGAAGACATCAGCAATTAGACATTAAGTACATTCTTTCAAGGAGTGCTACAAACCTTCTAATAAGCATCTTCAAAACATCTTACTAATAATCAACAAAACAAAGGTAAACACTTTAATGAAAAACTCTATTTGGGTACTAAACTATTTTCTTAATAATCACAAGATTCTTCATGTGAGTTCTATTTTGTTTTTTTATAAGCCTCCTTTGAACAGCAATTGATTTTGGAAGCATTTGTGGATAAGAACTTCCCATTTGAAAAATATGCAAATATTAGAATGATTTATTTAAAAGTTTTACGAAGTCCCTTGAAAACAAACTTACTCCTAAGATACCAATATTGTACTACACACTAGCATACAAGGATATAAAACACACTATCAAATTAACTGGATTAAGCTACCCCTCTTTCCACCTTCCCAAGTCTCCCCCACTCCCAAAAGTTTTCCTACTTATATCGAATTTTTTCATCCATGTCTTGAGGTGGCTCTTCGATAATAAATGAAACTAAGTCTTCTAAACATTCTGACTTCAGTAGAAACTCTATAAGTTTGCGATTCTGAGCCTTGCACTCTTGCAGTACATCCTCTTCATCCATTAATTCCTTCAGTGTCACATCTTCTCTCTCTAGAAGTGTATCTATGTGGGATGATGAATGGAGATCAAATTTCCAAAACATGCTGGTCTGGGTAAGAAGAATGTACACAAAGCATTAAGTTTACAAATATATTTAAGCAGTATTTGCAGTAACACTTCATAGTAGTGTTTCATAGCTTCTAACCCCAAAGGTACCTGCATGCATAGAAACATTCTAGAATTCAAATGAGATACAACAGTAAATGCTGACAATCAAAAGCTACAAAAATCAGGCTTGATTAAAGATGACTGAATGCTCCATAGTAGTTTTTGTAACTTTAGCAATAGCCAGTATTCTAACATTTAAAGTCAAGCCACTCCAGGATTTTACTTACATGAAAAGAACATGCTAATCTGCATTAAAAAAATAGGATGTTTGGTTTTCAATGTATTGAATTTGCTCTTCTCAATTTTTAACCTATGCACCAAGTCTCAGATTCAGAACAACTTGCTCAGCAATTAATAGAGCTAAGACAAGATAAAACAGGCACTGCATAAATGCACTAGAGTACCACCCCTACTGCTGTAGAAGACATCTATAAAAGCGGATGAATTATAATAATTTCAACTTGCAGGCAGCACACAAAGTGCTGGAGCTAATTTCAACACAGGACCTACTCTCTTACTGTACCTCACTCCACAAACTTGACACAGGAGGAAGAACAAGGGACAATAAAATATGCAAACACGTGAAAGGGCAGCAGCCTCAACCACTAAAACATTGTAAAAAAGGCTGTAACAGAAATGTCTAAGGATGAGCAACTTCACCTTTCCTTATAAAATGCTTTGGCACCTCCGTGTTAATTCTATTGCTTTAGGACACCTTACAAGAAGTGGCTACTAACACAACTGTGCTATCAGAAAAGAGTACTTCAGTCTATGATAGATCCAATAAACTATTGCCTTCACCTCTCACCAAGCCCTCTACAAGCATTTGTGCTCCATTCACCCCACCCCCCCAC